GAATGAAAAATATAATTATTATACATTTGTGCAAAGCACGAAAGACTGCCTAGTACTAGGATAAATGCTATGTCACTAAATATTATAAATAATAGAAGTGGCATTTTGACGAAGGAAAATATTAAACATACACTATCTGAAAGATTGTTGTTGAACAAGGCTTAAGGGCCTGTTCGACAAAATTAGATGTGATAATAGCGGTTATCTATACCAGTAGATGTCAATCGTTTAACTAGCATTTCATCAAATGTTAAATAACATTTCATGATTGACTTCTTCAAACGCTAAATAATAGTATAGTGATATTATCGTCAAACAATATAAATAATAGACAAATGTGGAAGCAAGTCTATGTCCTTTATATGGTGAGGAAGTGGAATCACTTGATCATTGTCCACTTCATTGTGTTCACAGAAGGATTGTTTGACACTCCATTTTCAAATGGTAGAATATAAATAATAGACAAATGTTGTTTTGCCTAAGACTTTTAATAACTTAGGTTAGGAAATGGAAAAGTTTAATATGTTTCAATGGTGTACAGGTAGCATGGAAAATAACGTTTTGCATTGCCTCATGGTCTTTATGGTTGAGACGCAACCAGGTAATTTTTTCCTCTATTTCTCAAAGCTAAGAGGATGTGTTGGATGATATTAAATTTAGAAGTTTTGATTTCCTGAAATTCAAATTTTCTTCTATCCCTTAGCCTTTGTTGGTTTCTTGTAGCAGGTTACCTCTCAAGAAAGTAACTTTTGTAGATAAATCCTCTTTGTCTTGAATTCCTCTGAATGATAATTGTTTTAAATTTAATGTTGATGGGGCAGCAAAAGGAAAACCAGGGCTTGCGGGTTTTGGCTGCATTTTAAGAAACTTCAAGGGTGGTGTGGTGAGTTGCATTTTCTTTCAATCGACAAGTATTATCGATTCAAATGAAGCAGAATATGTGCTATTATCAAGGTTGTTGAATTATTTTCACAATCTCATTTAAAGGATTATCCTCTAATTGTTGAATCTGATTCAAGTAATGTGATTTATTAGGTATCATGAGGAAAAAAGACTTTGGAAATGGTGGTATATTTTTAATAGATTTGATGCCTTTGTTGAAACCTATCGCATATTCAATTTCAGCTTGTTTTTAGATAACAAAATTGCTTTGCAAATTCTTTGGCGAAGAAGGGTGTTGAAGCATCTAATGATTTTTTTTGGCTTGGTTTTGATTTGTTAGGCTATATCAATATTGTGATTTGGAATTTTTTTTTTTTTTTTTTTTTTTTTTTTTTTTTTTTTTTTTTTTTGTATCTTCTTATTCAAGAAATGAAATTTTTTTTTTTTTTTTTTTTTTTTTTTTTTTTTGTATCTTCTTATTTCAAGAAATTGAATTTTATGTAAATTAAGGTTGTCCAGATTTTTTTACTTAGCATTTTGGAGTTAGGTTTTGTGTATTCAAAAAATTTGACGGTTCATGTTTATAAACTTAAAAATGCTAAGTTTTTCCTAGATATAAATTAATAAAATAAATATTTATTGCTGATAAAAAAAAATAGAAGTAATATTTTGACTTTAGTTAAAATGCTTCTCGCTGCTTATGCCTCAGAATTAACTAAATTTGTTGGAAAAATTTTATCTAGACCGGATCTATGCCACTTATGGATCAAACCAATAAAAATAAAATTTCTTTTTAAAACGAGGATATTTCTGACATGCATTGAAAAAAAAAATGATAAAGTTGAAACATTTTATAAAGAATATTTATCCTCATTGGTTTGGTCCATAAGCGTGACTATATACCCTTTGTATTGTTGAGTTATATCGAGATCATTAGAACTTTCTCTTGTAGTTAAATCGCTACCATTTGTGTTGGTTCTTAAACTGGAACTCTCAATTTCACTACTATTTCCACTTTCACCATAAATGTAACTATATAAATGTAACTCTCACTGTAATTGTTACTGCCACTTAAATCAATACAGATTTGAGAGCGAAGATAATTGTCAATACAATTATCGATGTAATTATTCCAACTATATTTAGTATCAGACATATAATGATCACAATGGAAGTCACCATTGCTAGACCCATTATTCAGATAACTCGAATTCTAATAACTATAAAAAAAAAAACTTTCTAGTTCATTCAAAAAAATGATCAGTTTCAATCTCAAAAACTTGATTTTCAAATATCAAAATATATGGAATAACTATTACTATTACTATCCCTAGTAAGTTGCAAATTTGTTACCGTAATTATTTAAAATGAAAACATTAAACATGTTTTTTTTCCAGGTCAGAAAGCAAATATAAACACACACAAACGATATGATATGAGAGAAATGAGAAATAAAGAGAGAGAAAAAAAAGGAGTGACGTAAGGACTGGGGACAAGCATCAACCCATGCGCAATTGAGCGGTCCTCACTCTCCATCCCTTCCTCTCTCCTTCTTTTATATTTCTCTTCCATCTTCCTCTTCTAACGGAAGTTTTTCTTCTTTCCTCTCTCTTTCCTCTTTCTTTCTTATTAATTTCTCATCCTCTCAAATATCCATCTTCAACTACTTTCTTTAATTTTGTCTTCTTCTTCTTCTTCTTCTTCCTCTTCTTCAATATCTTGTCTTTAAATTAACCAGAACACTAAAACCTTTCAAGAACCAGTCTAACAGGTAAGCTTAATTATTATAATTTGCATTTGCATGGATAATCCATTTGCATTTAGAATTCTCTTACACAGAAAATAAACATTAAAGAAAGCATTTCTTGAAAAACTGATTTCTCTAAAAAGCTTTTTCTGACCACCTCTCCTTATCCATTTATCTCTTACCATATCTGTATGTGCAGTCCATTTTGTTCCACTGTACATACCATTGTGATTGGTAAGACAAGAATTAAGAGTCAAAGATTTATGTAACACACACCTGAAGTGACTAAATTTTGGTAAAAGATTGTTAGAAAGTTGATTTCTTTTGCTATAGCTATGACTATAGGTAAAACCTCAAGCTCACTAATCCTAATCTCTATCCCTCTTTTTCTTTTTCTTCCATCAAAAATTCTTAAAAGGCTAAGGAGGCTGTGGGAGATAAAACCCAGCCTAACCTCTTACGCTATGAGATTGACACTTCACCTTGCGGTAGCCATTTTTCTCTCTGTATATATATTTGCTATAGCTAGGCATGACTATAGTTAAACTCAAGCCTCAACTAATTCCTAATCTCTATCCCTCTTTTTTCTTATTTCTTCCAGTCAATAAAATTCCTCTTAAAAGGCTAAAGGAGGCTGTGGGAAGATAAAACCTCACAGCTAAAACCCTCTTACGCTATGAGAATTGACACTTTCACTTCATTGTGCGGTAGCTCAATTTTTTCCCTCTCCTCCTGTATTATGATGTTATATATTTTACTATATAATTATATAGAATATTTTATTATATTTATACACATAGTAGTATAAATGAATTAATATTAAGAATGATGTCCAACTAAGCAACCTATAAGTTACAGAGAAAATCTAACCAAATTAATACTATAGACTTTTCATCTTATTCATTTTAATTGTTGTGAACACTTTTAAACAATCCTTTGACACACACACTCACACCTTTTAACCAATAAACTTATTGGATTAAGTTTTACAGTATCTATAATTATTTATGAATTCCATTTCTTGTTTATTAAAATCTAGATAAAGAGGCATAAACCATAAATAAGTTAATTCTCTTTTTCTTAAGAACTCATATTGAACAATTTTCCTAATTTGTGACTTTTCTATCATTTCGTTTCTTTCTTTCTTTGAATCTATGCAAAGGAAGGAGAGAAATTAAATGGCAGTTTCTGCCAATGCAACCACACTTCAATTTGACAAAGAGACAAGATTCGTCAGATCAGTTTACAGCAATGAGGCAAACAGACTCTGCAAAGACTCTTAAGAGTGTGCTTTTTCTCTTGTTTTTCTCTTTTTAAAAGCTTAAGCTCTCCTCATCCCAATTACTACTTATTCAGGCTTGAAATTTTTGATTTCTTCCAATGAAAAAAAACATTCTCCCTGAGTGTTCTGTCTTTTTGTTCCTGAATTCACTTCACTTTTCTCTTTCGAGAACGCCATGCTAAATTTTTTTTCATTAACGGATCAATCCATTTCTTCTTTGTCAATATATGAAAAAAGAATGATGTCACTAGCACCTTGACAGAGAAAATCTAACCAAATTAATCTTGACCATTTATCATTTATGTGTGAAACACTAACTCCTTTGACAAAATACACCTTACCAATCTTGGATTAGTTTTACAGATCATATAATGAATTCCATTTCTTGATTTAAAATCTAAGATAAAGAGGCATTACCATAAATATTTTCTTTTTCTTGATTTCTGCATTTTCCTTTTGTGCTTCTATCATCTTCTTTCTTTCTTTGAATCTATCAAAGGAAGGAGAGAATTAAATGGCAGTTTCTGCCATGAAAATTCAAGACAAAGAGACAAGATTGTCAGAATCAGTTACAGCAATGAGAAACAGACTCTGCAAGACTCTTAAGAGTGTGCTTTTCTCTTTTTTTCTCTTTTTAGCTTAGCTCTCTCTCCCATTACTCTTTTCAGGCTTGAAATTTTTTGATCTTCCAATGAAAAACATTCTCTGAGTGTCTGTCTTTTTTCCTTCACTTCACTTTTCTCTTTCGAGAAACGCATGCTAATTTTTTTCATAACGTCATCCTTTCTCTTTGTCATTCCCTTTCCAAACCTAACTACATAATCACTATTAAGCTATTTATTTCTAGCTCCAAACTCTAATAACTCTATACAGTGTTAGAGCATTTTAATTATTTTTGTTTCCAAAAATAATAACTCTATATAGTTTCCAAAAAGTTATTTTTGTTTTGTTTTAATTAATCTTTTCTTTGACCATTCTATTGTTTTAATTATTAATTTGGGCATGTTAATTGTGTTAGTTTAACTAATTAATAATTCAAAAAATAAATTCTTTTTCTTTTTTGTTTATACAATCATAATGGAAACCCCGTTCTTGATACATCATTTCCACCATTCACCAACACAGGACAACATCATTAGCACAAACCTCTAGTTGTCCGTTTCTTGATACCTGCACTAACAGAGGCCTATAAGCTGCCAACTACTTCTAATTGGAAAACAATTTTATATATATAAAAACTTTTCACCCCTTTCTTCTTCTTCTTCTTCTTGCTCTTCTAGTTTTAATTATCCCTATAAGAAAAGTTCATCATTGTAAGTGAAAGTGAAAACTGAAACAGTACAGTATGTTCTCTTTGTTTTATAACACGCGCTTATTTCCTTTTCATAGATAAATATGGTGGTGACTGTTGCTCGCCACCAAGAATGAGTTGATGATTATTCTTGATAACACTTGTCACCTTTTTATTTGAAGGGTATATTCTTCATTATTTTTCTTGAGAGATTATTTTCTTTTTTCTCCTTCCTTTTCATTGCTCTTTTACTGTTGATTCTTTTTTTTCTTTATCACTTTCTGTTGATCTCTTGCATACATATGGATAAATGTTTCTTTCATTCACATTTTGTTATGATTATTTAAAAATGATGTATTAAAGCTCGAGTGATGGTAATGGTGATAAATTTTATGCAGTACCAGAAGCTATGATGGAATCAATGGAATCTTGTGTCCCACCTGGATTCCGGTTTCATCCAACGGACGAGGAACTTGTTGGGTATTATCTAAGAAAAAAAGTAGCATCACAAAAGATCGATCTTGATGTTATTAGAGATATCGATCTATACAGGATCGAACCATGGGATCTACAAGGTATATATATACATTTGCTATTAGGGTTTCATGTCCTTTACGTTATGATCTCTCTATATATAGATAGATATGATTGGTTACGATTTGTTTTCTTTTTGGGTAATGGAAACAGAGAGATGCCGGATCGGATATGAAGAGCAGAACGAGTGGTATTTCTTCAGCCACAAGGATAAGAAGTATCCAACGGGGACAAGAACTAACAGAGCAACCATGGCAGGGTTCTGGAAGGCAACCGGAAGAGATAAAGCAGTTTATGATAAAGCAAAACTGATCGGAATGAGAAAAACTCTTGTTTTCTATAAAGGAAGAGCTCCAAATGGCCAAAAAACTGATTGGATCATGCATGAGTATAGACTCGAATCCGATGAGAATGGTCCTCCTCAGGCAAGCTTCAGTTCACTATATTCCTGGATAATATAATTATGCTTTTGTCATTAACATAATTATTAATTAATTAACTAAATCCCTTTCTCTATTTTTTTCACCAAAATATAGGGGTAACTCTCTTTTCCCTGTGTAAGATATAGTTTTAGTTAGGAATCCATTGCTATCAACTCATGAAAAGTTCTAAAAGCAACACTACTTGCCTTCTTCTCTCTCTTAACTAATTAAGGGACAAGATAATTAGGTCTTTTTCTTATAAATTCTTTCATAATCCACTAAAAATATAAATTGCTTTCCATGCATTGACCAGTAATGTACAGTTTCACACCATTTCTATGCATATATTGTTTAAAAAAGAAGACTTCCCCCAAAACTCTTCTATAGGTCAAAAGTTATTGAGTCATTTTAATTTAAAACAGACATTAAAAATAGCTTTCTTGTTCCAGATTCCTTGTCTGGTTTTAGGCTTTCTCTCTTTATTTATTTTGTCAAAAGAAATATTCCATTTCCTTTCCTTTGTTCACCACGTAGTCTCTAAATTTGACTACTCCATCCACTAAAGCCAAACATAAAGAACACTTACAAAAGCCTAGGACACTTTACATGCAAAACTTTTCCACAGGAAACTTTATTCTTTTTTCAAAAGATTAAATATGGTAAATTAATTACCATTATTATTATAATTTATAAGCTTATTTTGGTTAAGTTATTGCAGGAAGAAGGATGGGTAGTCTGTCGCGCTTTCAAGAAGCGAACAACTGGGCAAAACAAAAGCATTGAAGGGTGGGATTCAAGCTACTTCTATGATGAATCAAGTGGAGTTAGTACAGTGATTGATCCAGTCGATTATATATCGAGGCAGCCTCAAAATTTTTTGGCGCAAAATTTCTTATGTAAGCAAGAGATAGAAGCAGATAACTTAAGCTTTATGCATTCTGATAGCTTTGTACAGCTTCCTCAGTTAGAAAGCCCATCTCTGCCATTAATAAAGAGGCCAAGCTCAGTCTCTCTAATAACAGAGAACAATAATAATAGAAATAACAACAACAACACCAATAATGAAGAAGAAGATCGAACTAGAGAATGTAAAAACAAGACTGTGACTGATTGGAGAGCCTTAGACAAGTTTGTCGCTTCTCAGCTAAGTCAAGAAGATAGATACGATGGTGATAATGTAGTTTCAAGCTTTGGAGAAGGAAATGGTGATTTTGATACGTCATTGCTGTTATTGCAGAGTAGTAGTGGTAGAGATGAAGGCAACAAGTTTAATGGATTTTTAAGTTCGAGCTCTGATTGTGATATTGGAATTTGCATATTTGAGAAATGAAGGGAAAAATAAGGAGAGAATTGACGACGATGATGATGTGGTTAATTAATTTCTATTCTGTACTAGTATAAAATGTTTGATGAATTCTAATCGAGATAGAGATAGAATTTATATATATTTATATATATTTTTGTAAAAAAATATTATTGTGCATGAATGAATTCTCTCTATTTCTATTGGTTTGATCGATGAGCAACGCACAAATCGCCTTTAGATAAATTTAATCCATGTAATATTGGTAGTTATTTAACTACAAACTAGTTTTGTTCAAGTATTAGAGTTGTCTTCTTCTCAAACTCTAATTAAGAGTTTTTTTTTTTTTTTTTAGATGTTGTCTTCTTCGTCAAAACCCCTAATTAAGAGTTTTTTTTTTTTTTTCTGCACACGGTGCCTTCTCTCCTAATCTAATTTTTTTTTTTTTTTTTTCTGCACACGTGCTTCTACGTTTAAACCGAGGTGTTATTCAGGTAAAATCCTCTCTCAACTGTGATGTATTCACGTTTTGATGAACTCAAATTAAGAGATTAATTGAATAAAAAAAAGATTATTCGCTAATTGTTTGATAGGAAACAATAATTGTGTGTGCAATATGGGAAAGAAAGTATTAATTACCTCAGAAAAGAAATTCAAGTTCTTGTATGGTTTTGAAAACTCCACATACTTAATTTTCTTTTTTTTTTTTATCAGCAATATATATTTATTTTATTAATTTATATCCCAGAAAAATTTAGCATTTTTAATTTTCAAAATATACCCAACCTAATTCAAAAATGCTAAGTAAAAAAAAAAATTTAGAAAACTTCAAGTTACATAAGATTCGTCTCTTCTTAATATAAGAAGATAAAAAAATTTCAAATTACAATATTGAAATAGCCTCAGAAATCACAGGCAAACTAAGAAATCATTAGATGCTTCAACACACTTCTTCGTCAAAGAATCTATAAAGCAATTAGTTTTCTAAAAACAAGCTGAAATTGAATATGGGACAAGTTTGGACAAAAGACATCAGATCTATTAAAAGTATACCAGCATTTCCAATGCCTTTTCTCCTTACATGATACCAACAAATCACGTTATTTGAATCAGATTCAACAATTAAAGCACAATTCTTTAAATGAGATTGTAAAAATAACTCAACAGCCTTGATAATAGCACGTTATTCTGTTTCATTTGAATCGATATCACGAAGTCTTAACTAATTTGAAAGATAATTAACCTGCTAGGACATTAGTACATTAATGCAACTTAAGCTTACTAGTTATATATAGACACACACAACAATCAAGTAGCACAAGTCTCTTGGAAGAATGAACTTGATCCATTAAAATAGTTTTAGACTTTAGAACTACTTTTGATGTGATGTTAAAAAGAGAAAATGGGCATTGCTCCAACATTTTCAGAACAGCTTTTGCTATCCTTCATGATGTATCTATAATGCCTTTTTTTTTTCTTGCCCATTTCATGCAGGTGAATGAAGAAAAAAAAATGTAAGGTTGTCTAACCATATAGTAAAGCCAATAAATCATTGTGTTAAAGTATCAAATGACCAAATTAAATTAATTCATTAATGAACTAATTTGACTTATTGGTAACATTTGAAAATTCTTTTACCATACTTAACATGAATCATCTCAAAAAGTAAAATTCAATTGTCAAGTAATAAATATTATTCATCCAATTTTTTTTTTCTTTTTTTCCAACAATGGATATATATGATAATGCCTATGAGGTAATTGAATTATCAAATTTGTTTATATGATGAGAATTAAGATACTAATAATAAATATTCTTACTCTCTTTGCTCTCGTAACATAAGAATGAAAATATTATAAGTTCACCTTTATATGAGAGCAAATTTATAATTAATAGCTGATAAGCTCATTCATATATATGTGCGGTGTTCAGCAATAACTTTTAGCGTTTTAATTAAACGCTATTTTTTATAGATCGTTCAATAAGATAGCATTTGCAATAACTTTTAGAGGTTAATATAATGTTTTATAAAAGATTAACCCTCGTAAGTTTTAGTTTTTAATGTTTTTTGAAGCTACTAAAATGGCTACGATCTACTCAAACAACCAAACGCTATTAAAACAGCTAATAGTTATTAAAACAGCTATTTTACCGAATAGGCCCACGGTGGATCCTATTACAGATAAACCTTTTCCACTGATTACTTGTTAGGATTAAATTTGTTTGTTAAATTGTGTGCAGAAAGGATATTTATATGTATGTTAGGTGAATTATTAGGAACAGAAAGATAGAGAGGTTGATTATTATGAAGAACAAATTGATGATAGATAGTGAAGAATGGGAACTTCAAGGTGCGGGCTTGGTGGACCCATGGTTTGTCTGGCATGCGCTGTCCTGTTGGGCATGCGTTTGTCTCTATTAACAACATATTTTTGACCCTTCGTTAGGGTTTGTTTAGCTTCACATGTCCTCTTAGTTCCGCACACTTCACTAATAAATATGTAGCAGTGGCTATTCATAATTCATTTTATTACTAGTTCCTAAATATTAAATATATACAAATTTTCTTTTTTTTTTTCCAAAAATAAATAAAAAAATAGTGATTCTTTTGATTGGATTAATTTGGGAGATGATCTTTTCACAAATATAGGTTTAGGTTGGACCACAGACGGTCCAGATTAACTTTGTAATATGGGTCCACTAGATCACATACATGTGTTGTTGTGAATAATTCTTTCCATATTTGCTATGTCTACATCTATATATAGTTAGATCAAAATTTTATAGCTCCTATTTAAAGCATATGTAACTTTGCATTTGGATTTGTTTAGATATTACATATATGTATATTTGGAATCCAAATTTAAAATTGTAATTACATTTGAAAACAATACTTGAAAATTTGAATTCTGAACTCAAAATTATTAATCTAGCATTCAAGTTTATTATTTTAAAATACTTTGATCTTTTAAATTTTATAAGAAAATGTATCATTAAGATAACAACAATAACCAAACTGTATTATCTCAGAAAGAAAAAAAAATAAATAAAAAGAAAACCAAACTATAGTCTCAAACTAGTTGGAGTTGGCTATATGAATACTTTATTTTAAAATATTCGCTCTGATCAAATTAATATCAATGCCAAGTATAAGTTGAAAAAAAATTTTAATATTTTTTATAAAAAATTAATATATTAATACATAGGATCAAGCATAATATATTCAACAAAAACTAATTTAAACTAAAGTTTGCTATATGATTCTCTGATTTTATCTCCAACTTTTGCTACTTGAGCCTTTTATCTTATGTGATTATTTCAAATCTTATCCAACCTTATATGACCATACATCCATGTCAATAATCGCATCTCCACAACCTTCATTTTGTGAATATGTTGTGCATTAAGTGCTCAACATTCACTCCCACATTGTTGGTCTTACCATGTACTGTCGTTTAGAATTTATCTTTCAGCTTATTAAATATCTTCCTATCACATAGTACACATGTAGTACTACTTCACTTCATCTATTTCGATTAAATTCTATGAGAAATATATTCATCGTTTTTTATCAGCAAAATTTAACTTTACACTGTAAGAAGATATTGAAATAGTTGGATTTTTAGAGACGGATGAACCCATTGCTAATCAGCAATTGATTAGAGACGGGTTAGCAATGGAAAAGAGCCTAAAATCTCACATTTAAACTCGCAATGGATGGATTTCAAAGGGATAAGAAACTGATATTCGAGAAATGGATGTTTCCGTTGCTAAATTTCGCGGGAAATCATGATGCGCAATTTAGAAATAGATTAGCAACAGAGTAACGGATTAGTACATCTGTTTCTAAAATTCACAGTAGATCCATACACAACGCAACAACGACATAGCAACAAATTAAACAGTATTGATCAAAATTTCAGAAAAAAACTTAACAAAACTTAGCAACTAAACTCAAGCCAAGTTGAGACACATGAAGATTTTCTGGCTTGGATATAATACTCGAAAAAAATAATATGTAAATCATTTGGTCATGAAAATAATTTTGTCTTGAGATTTCTTATTGCTTGGAAGTAGCTTAATGAATGAAGCTCTTTGGTTGCTTGAAATTGCTAATTTTGTGCTCTTTGCTGTGGGTTAAGGATGAACCTCATAACCAAGCCAAGAAATCTGAGAAAGAATCAACTCCTTTCCTTGTAAGAAAATCCACAAAATGGTTCTACTCTTTTAGAATGTGCTATGCAATTCATTCACTAGAAAATCAAACTGATTAAGCTCTTTCTACCATTTTCAAGGTCTTTGGTTCTTACAAAGCACCCAACAAATATTTGAATTAATTGCACTTGGACACTGTTTTTATCTAATTTCATTTCACCTTTCTGATTTTTCTTTAAACCAAATTCGAATGCGTGTATTCCGCTGTTAATCTTTCTTTCATTGATCAATTTGTGATATTCCGAATTCTCATTATTAATAGAATCGAAATGATCTATCGGTCGATGTTGTTTAGCCTAAAAGCTTTATTCTCAAGAGTTCTCTTCCATAGTTCTGACTTTTATTATACTTGCTACTTTCATAGATTAGGATAATATCATCGGGCGAATAACATGTACCAAGAAACATGGTATTTTTATAAATTTATAAATTTAAATGTATCATTAGAATTATATAAAATTAGGTACCTTTCATAAATTTATAATTTTGATGACATAAGAAAAATATAACTATTTGGCTATATATAATTATTTATATGATTAATTAATTAGTAATAGAGTACAAGAATATGAATTGACAAATCGAAATGTTTTATCTATGCATAAATAAAATAAGCTAATAAAGATTTGAAAGGTCTAAAACAGTTGACATAATATTTTTTGGTATACGTCCAGTTCGAATACTCCAGAGGAGCGAATGGCGGAATCGCCCGAAATAATACTATGGGTTACACAACAAGGGGTAGCCTTCTTTTTGAACTCGAGATCTCCCACTCCTCACATAAGTGAGAAGACCACTACTTGATTGACTAATTATAGTATTATTTAGTAATTAGAATTTAATGAAGGATCATAAAGGTTATCATGGAAAAAATAATTATTTATATGTCTAAATTTAAAAACCTTGCAAATATTTTGAGACATAAAAAAAAAAGAATAACAAGCAAATAAAATGGAACAGAGGGAATATATATTATTACTTAATATAAGGAATTTTTTTGAGAAAAATAAAAGAAGTATTTCGTTGATTAGGAAAAGAGTAAAAAATGAAAAAAAAAATCAAAATATTATCTATTTGCATAAAATAAATCAACCACCTGTATAGAAAATATTATAATAGAGAATTGAAGGGTCCGAGAGTGTTGATAGAGCACGTATTGGTTTATCTAATCGCGCTTTATTCTTTCAACGAGTTGAAACCCCTGCGAAGGGGAACAAAACACCAAAATCTATTAACAACAATAGATGTAAATTTACATTTAAAAAAAATATTGGCTCAATGCATAAATTTATATTTGAAATTTACGTGATTTATTTTGTAGCACTCTTAAATTTGCCGGGATCACCATGCACTTTCATATTTGAGTAATATCTATTTCTCTCATCAAAATAAAATGTAAAAGTGCAGGGTTATGATTGAACTCTCGCAAAATTATTTCATTTCGGCAAGAGCTATAGTTATGCCTAAAATATAAAAATATAAAATTATGATAGGTCTCTCGCAAAGTTAAGAGTGCTGTGAAGTAAATCGCGTAAACTGTAGGAGGCAAATGTATACATTTGACCAAAATATATTTACGCACTTCAAATGTGCATAAGAATTTGTCAACTAACTGACAGATGTAAATTTCCTTTCCTGAGAGATGGAGTTGAAATTAATGGATCCTCTACAAGTAGTATATCAATGTCAAATGATAAGAATGTACGGTCAAAAGGAAAACAAATTTTCAACATAGAAATAAGACTCCCTAATTTCCATCGGTAGATAATTTTCATTTTGTGTAAATTGCCGATGTTCAGACCCATTACTAGAAACCGTCTAATCGGGTTCGGAATTTAGTCAGTTAAGGTTCCTCGCCCCTCCCTATAAATGCGTTTAGTAGAGATTGAACCCAATAATTCTTTCCACATGTTCAGTCTACTTTGTCAACTGAGTCATAATCCGTAAGTCCATGTTAGACATATTTAATTTCAGTAATGGGCACATGTTACCTTTCTGTAATCACCAATAAGAATGTGACACATCAGCAATCAATTGCCTTCCATGAGGAATGATGATTCCATTTTCAAAGTGTCATTGATACTCAAACCAAATTGACCTTGCAACCAAATATTGTAGTGTCATCTTCGAACCTCTAATTGAAGGATTTTTCTATAGTGACATCATGTAAAGTCATGTTGCTTAGGTACAAAATAATAGCTTCAATTAACATTTTTAACATTTTGTAAAAATTACTGTATTTTATAAAGTTGTTATACTAACTAAAAGCTAATATTTTGTAAAAGATATATTTTTTATAAACGTCAGATTACAAAATAGTAAGTCTAATCTACATATTGTGGCTCAATTGGAATGCAGGCTGGATATGTGAAAAAAGTTATCGTGCTTAATCCCCACTAAACACACCTGTAATGAGAGGCGGTATGCCTTACCTCTGACTAAGTAATGTTTTAATTAGTAGATCAATTGTGAAAAATACCTATTTTTTGGAAAATGACTATTTACAAACTAGTAGATCGATTGTGAATGTTTTATAAAATTTTCAAGTATTTGATAAGGCTTTGGCTGTTATGGTGACAGATTCTCTATTTGTTTACAGTCTGAGAGCACAAAAACTAGATGATGAGTATGGCCTGTTCTTTTTTGTTTCTTTATCATTCTTCTTCTTTGTTTTCTGCACCCTTTAGGTCTTGTTCTCTCTTTTTTCAGCTTTATTTTCACTAGTTCCATTTTTCTTCGTGATCCAGTGATCTGCCATCTTCTTCAAAACTCTTAACCCATTTGGTTCTTTCATCCAATTCATGTAATCATGTTCCTGCAACTCCACGTTTCTCCAATTATACATTATGGCAAAGCTTCTTTACTTAACATTTTATATTGTTAGCAGAACTAAACTCATCGCACGTCTGAAAGGTTAGAGTTTGAAACTTGGAAATTACTATTATGTGAATAATCTCTTGAATGTGTTCTGAATATATATATAACTAAACTTGCATTTTTTTTTTTTTCAAAAAATTATTATTTTATCCTTCTATTTTGTCGTATATTCTTGTATTTACCAATTATCTTGTCCTTATATTTTGCCAAAATTAACTAATATATCTATGTATTAAACGGAAAAAAGTCAAAAAATGTAAAAATATAAGGAAAAAGTAGTAAATTTCCTCTATTAATTAATAAACTCTGCAACTGATCTCAAATATAATGAGAAAAATAAAAAAGAACTATTATTTCTTTTTCTTTTTTTTTTTTTTTTTTTTTTATTACATAATATTATAAAATCATCTATAAGTGTACCCAGCCACAACATTCTGCTTTAATTCACTTATCTCTATTTAGATATGATATATAAATTAAAATAAAACGAACCACTATCTTATCTCTTTTTTCTCTTTATTTTTCTTTAGAAATTTATTTAACATAATCAAAACATATTGAAGTAATTATATTATATTCTCAATATACAAGGAATAAACATAAATTTATACCAAGTCTCATATTCTCAGCATAAATCAAAACAATGTTAATTCTTTTATCAAAAGTATAACATTATTATAAACTATCCAATTGCTACCAATTATACTCATCTTCTTTAGCTCATCAAATCATACAATATTCTCACATCCATCACGTCAATTAACTCAATCAAAAATATCTATATCATTTGTCAATAATTAAAATTCTTATTAATCCATCTATCCAATTCACATCCTAACACCAAACCTATATCTATCTAATACTTTCAACAACTAAATAACACTGTAATATAATAAATCATATGATCATCTGTAAACCATGTTCTCTACGAATCAATCCTATCTATATATATTAAAACCCCTAAATCCCAAAAGAATCTCCGTCATTACTCTTCATCCATCCTAACTCGATATTATAGATTCAATAGCAACAATTGAATATATATATAATAAATTATTAATTGTTATATGCTGCAAAGGGGGGCAGCTTTCCACATTTTGCTGAAGGGACTATAATTACTTCTTTTGACACCTTTATTTAAATATATTTAAAAATGTCAGTCACCCTTTATGCCTCACATCGTTCAACTAAGTTCAAATTCCCATTCCCAGACCCATTGAACCATTTTCAATTTGGATATGAAGGCCACAACTCACAAGCTTTTTGATATTTCATCCAGGTTATAAAAATAAGAAAGAAGAAACAGTCATATTTTTTAGTACATAAAACCAACTTTTATAGGCACCTCAAACAAAATCCCACATTGCCCAAACTGGTCGGACAGTTAAATTTACTTCTGTTCAGAAGTTTAAAGACCTATTCTTCCGGTTCACTTCGAATGTTCCAACTTCTGAAGCACGAGTGCCGCAATCAAGAGACACAAACCTTTACCTTGCCAAAATAAGGTTACAAGTGAAATGCAGAGGCTGAACCCGAAGGTTAATGCGTATGTGGGCTTTTTAAGGTTGAAGAATGCTTAGTTCCAATTAGATGTTCTCTCAAAGAAACATACTTAAGGATTACACTTTGTTTTCGATCAGTATAAAAGAGAACAAAGCTGGGTTAATGACAAAAACTATTTTCGGTACAGCTCAGGCCGAAACAAAAGCTAACTTCCAACTTTTGGGGCCATTACAGGCCCAGCCTCATTTGATACGACGTAATTAAAGATCGAAGCATATATTAATTAAATAGACTCGAACAAAGTTCTATAATAAACGCATTTGAAAGATCTCCCATTGCAAAGAAGCCAGCGTATATGAATTCCTAAATACCGATCTTCAATACTCTTATAACAGCAGCAGAATTAACAAAACCAAAATACCAGAATTCCAATTATTCAGCTTAGGTATGAAAGTACAAGTTCCTTCATAATTCACAAGTGTCAATAGGGTATTCACAATGATAACACTTTAATCTACATCCAAGGGCAAAGATATGAATGTCAGATAAAATAATAATAATAAAAAAAAAAAAAAAGGGATTGATTATAGCGAAAGTATATGACTAAGCAAGAAAAATGATATAGAAGGGCATAATACTATTAGTTGTCATCTTAACAAGCAGTGAATTATACAAACTACCAACATTTAGAAAGTCAACTACAAGCATTCAGTAATTGATATTAGCATAGCAAAATAGAGACAAAAGTAGAAGCACAAGAACAGCGAGCTAAATGACCAAACAGCAATTGATATTTAGGCCCTTTCACCACGAATTCGCCTAGCAAGTTGAATGTCCTTAGGCATGATAGTAACCCTCTTAGCATGGATTGCACAGAGATTAGTGTCTTCGAACAAACCAACAAGATAGGCCTCTGCAGCCTCCTGAAGGGCAAGAACTGCATGGCTCTGAAACCTCAAATCCGTCTAAACAGAAACCAAAATAAATTAACAACCGAGCAATGTAAACAACTAATTAAATGAAAATGAATGAATGCAGTTTCACAAGGCATTATTAACCTTGAAGTCTTGAGCAATTTCACGAACAAGACGTTGGAAAGGTAGCTTGCGGATCAAGAGTTCAGTGCTTTTTTGATACTTACGAATCTCACTGTTGGAAAGATACGGATATATACATATTAATTATATATTAAAGAGGGAATCAAAAAAGTATATAGTGAGGGTGAAACACCTACCGGAGTGCCACAGTACCAGGACGGTAACGGTGGGGCTTCTTGACTCCACCAGTGGTGGGTGCAGACTTTCTTGCAGCCTTCAAATTCAAAATAAGGAAACAATTATAGAATGTAAAATTTCATATTAAGTATAACACTGCAGAAAATAATTGTTACACTCATTAAGCTACTGCAAACAAAAAATAAATGTAAATAATTTCTTCTATTCCTCTTAACAGATAAGATTGTGATTGTCAGAGCTTTGAGAATAGGACTCCATGGTGCAATCAGCATTTATTAGGCTAGCATTACAGTGGGTGGTGGAGTTGTGATAACTATGAATTATATATATAACTCACCGAGAGCCCCAAATTTGGGCTCCATTATCATGAGAGTAATTCAAATTCGGTTCCATTAGCAATAACACAACATAAAATAAAGTAAACAAATTACAAGCACTTCAGCAGAACACACCATTTGCTTAGATGTGCTTCCATATTGTGAGCATTTTTACGCAAGTTACTGATAACCTAAGAATGAGAAACTGACTTGCAAACAGTGATATTAGCGAGACATTTCTAGTGAATGACATCAATTGACTAACATCGCAACATAGTTTGTGTTTCAGGTTTCCAACTTTATTTTTGTAGGTTATACAATTTTGCTGCAGTTAAGTATGGCAAAAATGTGTTCAAAACGTCATCTGCTACCCATTTAGAAGTAATGGTGCAAGAACTATCAATCATGTATGATAGGCCAAGTTAAAGAATGATTCTAGTGTTTTCTGGCTAGAATAATGAAGAGCATAGATACTGTTTGCAGAATTCCTCAGAAATGCCATATTGACCACTTTACTAGGTATAATTACCGCCAACAATTGCCATAATCAATGATTAATACCACACATATACCAGCTGAGTTGGGTGTATCAAATCAATTTTCCTTAATCGCTGCTTCTTTTTTTCAAAAAATTTTTAAGAAATCCAAAAGGGAAAAAAAAATTCAATTTTTTAACTTAAAAAAACAAATACTTCTAATATGAGTAGCTACACGGCATTCTCCTGAATCTTAAGAATTTAATATCAATGGAAGAGCAAAAGGAACTTTAAAAATGAAATCAATCTCAAACTCTAACTAAATAGAAAAGGTCCAAATGCAACCGCACAAATGCGCAAATTTGCAAATGAAAACACAGAGAGAGAGAGAGAGAGAGAGAGAGAGATAGATGTATGCCTTAGTGGCTAGTTGCTTCCGGGGAGCCTTCCCGCCAGTGGATTTGCGAGCGGTTTGTTTGGTACGGGCCATTATTCACCTGAAAATGTGAAACACAAAACCGAAACGAACATGAATTGTAAATTATTGGAGAAAAAATTGAACAAATAATGGAGTAGATCTGAAAAAATCGTGAAATTCGTATTTCTAGGGTTTGCAGTTTCCTCGAATACCTAGAGAACAAAGAAGCCTTCTAATTCGAATTTCAAATGTGGCGACAAAACGTAACATTACGACGGTAGGTTAGGATTTATAGCAGGATTGGTTTATACGTAACGACGCCGTGGAAAATAAGTGTATGATGTAATTACAATTAGCCCTGGAGGTTTACCTAAATTACGATTTAATCCTTATATTTGTTAAAAATAACTAACGTACCTTGCATTTAAAAATACATGGAAATTTCTCCCTACTGTGCCTCTATTAAACTATGACGTCCTTCCATCCAAATCTATAATTTTGATGTTAATTTTCAATAAAAAGACGAAATTATCCTTGTTTTCTGCAGCTCAACCTTTAAATATGCTCAATTTGAAATCTGTAAGCATGAAATTTTCCTCAATTTGAAATCTTCAAGTAAACTAACAATTAACATGCTCAAATTTCATTAGAGAATAGGAGAAGGAAGGGATTAAATCACTTTAGTGCTTCCTTTATCAACCAAATGCCAAATGATATTTAGGAACTTTAGTGTCGTCTGATCCAAAAAAAACCATAAAATGGAAATATTGAATTTTGAGATTTGAATATTCTCTGTAATCTATAAAAATTTTACAATGGACAAGGATTTTAATATCAATGTTTTAATTTACCTTCCCGCATGATGAAGAATTTTAATATTGGTATTTTGATTCGTCTTCCCAATCTTCTCTACATCTTCAATCTGATATTGTATCATGAAGAACTTTTTAATTCTCACTATTCAAAATGAACATCTATCTCCATTTATAAATATTCATGAATATTCAGTAATCATTTATCACAAGACTCATAAAATTTAAAATTAAATCAAACTCTAATGAAAAAATAAACAATACTTTTTAAAAAATGAAAATAGCACATAAAAAAAAAAAAATACAAAAATCATGTTAGCACCACATATGATCGATCTGGGTTTTCTACGCAATTTTATTTGTGTCTTTCTAAGGAAATTGATCTTATCAAGTTAAAAAATCAATATCTTATCATCTATCTGTACAAAAAGCAAAGAAACGTATGACAGGAGCTTGCCTGCCCAATCGAAGGAGTTTCCGCGTTGCATTGATGGAATCCAGAGACTTCATTCGTCAATCCCACTTCACAGATTGTTTTAATAACAGAAAATAAAATGATAACACAATTTCTTAATTATTTAATTCAGCTCTAAAAATTCAGATTTATATTATATAAAAAAGCAGGAGCTAACATCACAGCACAAAACAGAGTTCCATCAGCCCTAATTTTTCAGAGATCACAAAACAAAACAATACCCATTATGTGCAAAACAGGGCATACATAAACATAAACAAACAGACACACACTCTCTCTTATTTACATCAACATAATATTATTATCGCTAATCCTAATACAATTACCATCCTTTATCCATTTTCTACGCTCAAGAAGAAGCAGTAGCAACAGCAGCCTTCTTGGTTCTTTTAGCAGTAGGAGATTTAATTGACTTGGGCTGTTTAGGTTTAGCAGGAGTTGATTTCTTTGTCTTCTTAGCTCCAACAGCTCTCTTTGCAGGCTTCTTTGCAGCTTCGACAGTTTTGTTAACAGACCTTGTCTTTCTTGTCGTAGCTGTTTTGGGTTTGTTGTTTTCTTTGTTAGTAGTTTTAGTACTCTTTGAAACTTCTTTGGTGGTTGTGTCTTTCTCTTTCTTGCCTGCTGATAATTTATAAGAAGCTCTGATCTTTGTCAGCTTTCCTCGAGCAGCCGAGTTTTTTAACTGTAAAGCTAAGATTTTCTTGAAATTTGCTGGTAATACTGCTTTGTGCTTTTCTTCCATGTATTTAGCTATGGCGTATGGGCTCGATCCACTCTTTTCGTTTAAAGCCAGCAGAGCTTCTTTGATCATCTGGGTAATCAACGGAATTAACTCTTAAATTCATTTCACATGATAAAATTTAGAAAAAAATAGCAAAACTCAAACCAGAATTCATACCTGAAAATATGGAGGATGAGAAGCAGTTTTAGGCTGTTTAGGCTTCTTCTCTCTTGGAGCTCTGGTTTTCTTCTCCTTCACAGGTTTAGTCTCCGCCGGCTTAGCCTCCTCTGTCGCAGGCGGTGGCTGTTCAACGGTGGAAGCAACTTCAGCTTCTTTTTCGGTAGTCATCTTAAGCAGAGATGCAAAATAAACAAAAGGAATTATCACTTATTCGCTTATATCACTAATTCATTTTCCAGAGGAAAGTGAGATTTATAGTAAAGCAATAATCTGTGACACAGGCAAGAGAGTACCGTGATTGGTTAATATTAGGCGTTGGAGATTGCCAACGTGTATAAGGAGAAATCTAGAACGTGCACGTGGAGAGGAATCACAGCGTTTCTTTGTTATGCTTTTGATTTGATGGTGCGTAAATGGTAGGCAGAAATGAGACACTTTGTGGATAGGAACATCAGCTAAGCTTTAAGGTTTTTGGTTTTCTTTGATAAAGGGAAGTTTGAAGGATGTGTTTTTTGGTTGGATTTAGAGTTAAATTTCAATGGCTATTTTAAGGTTTTTAATGTAGAAATTTTTTGGGATTGAAGATTAGAAAGTGTAGATTATAATGATGTGTAAATGAGGTAAAATGGTTGCCATTAGAGTGTAAATATTGAGGTTTTCCTGAAAAATAGTGTTTATTGTTTTCTTTCTCCATTTTTTTTTTAATTTTGGGTTATTGAATTCTATGGGTTAGGACTTGTGGATTTATTGGAGAGACATACATGGATTTTCCCTACATTCTAGAAAAATAATTAAAATTAAAATTTTTTTTCTGTAAAACACTGATATGATCTATTACCAGAATTTAATCACAGTTAAAGCTTTTTGTCCCTCCCTGAAGCATATTTGATGGAGATTGAACTCAAAACTCTTCCTACATATTCATTCTGCATTGCCAATTAACCCACAACTGTAGGTAAAATTAAAATTTATTTAGTACAAGAAAAGTTAGCTAAAAAATTAAACTTCCCAAGAAACACATCAACTTATCATATTTAGTTTTCATTAAGTCCTAAAATTCCGAGATAATTGTGTTTAACTTTCTTGTAGGTGGTCTAATTTCCTTGATCGAATACTCTTTCTGTCTCAAAATATTCACATCCTTTTTTAAATTATTATGTAGAATTGCTTTTTATAGACTAATTATTGATATGACCTTCATCATTGATTCTTTATAGGTTGATTATTGACATAATCTATATACTACTTAAAAACTTTTCCTTTCGCGTACAAATAATTTTTTTTTTTTTCAAATTCAACTATTAAAAATTATTTTTACTCTAACCAATTAAATACTTCGATATTTTGAACTTATTTAAAACTCATTTAAGAAAATATTTAAAACAACATTCTAGAATATTTTTAATTAGTTCATTGAAAAGCACAATAATCATATTTAGCTCTCTATTCAAAATTTATAGTTTCTCAAATTTGCTTTTAGATTCAAGCAAAAACAAATTAATAAATGATTTGGATTAGCCCTTTTGAAATTAAAATAATTTTATATGAATAATTATTCAAAGTTTTATGTTTCCTTGTGTAAATCAATTTAAATTAAAATTATAGATTGAAACAAAAATTAAAATTAATTTTTATTACATAATTTATCTTGTTTTTTATTTGAAAAATATTATATAATAAAATAAGCTTACACTAAAAGACTTTTAGCTGAAACAGAAAATATTTTTAATGTCTTTGAGTATTAAGTTATATATATGAAAAAAAAAATTATAATTACCGATTGAATAATTGTAAAATAAAATTTAAAAAAAAATGGTTAAGATGTAAAATCATTTTCATTTTTCAGTTCAAACAAATAAATAATAAATCATTTTAATGGTTTCTTTCAAGCAATCTATCCAACAACAAAAAAAAAAAAAAAAAAAAAAAGATACTTTTTACTTCATTTTAATTCTAACTATTTCTTTTTCAATTGCAATGTCTAGTTTAATCTAATTGAACAAATGAACTTGCTATAATTTGCAGGCTTCAAACTCCAATTCAAAAATTCAACAAATAACAATTGAATCTTTTAGTTACAATGAAAAAAAAAAAAAAAAAAAAGATACTTTATAACTTCATTTTTAATTCTAACTATTTCTTTTTTCAATGCAATTCTAGTTTAATCTAATTGAACAATGAACTTGCTATAATTTACAGGCTTCAACTCCAATCAAAATTCAACAATCAAATTGATCTTTTTTAGTTACAATGATTTTACAATTCTTGACCTAGGGTATAATTGACACTAAACTTTAAATTGAGATACAATTGATAAAAATTTATAGGGTGCAATAGTTAAAACGTTAAAGAGATTGGGTGAAATTGACTTTTAGGCCAATCAAAAGTTACATTTCAAGCTGCTCACTCTTTCTACTAATTGCAATCCAGAATAATTTCGCATATAACAATACTGCTAAACTCTCTAAAAACTGCCAGGACACCCTGCAACTGCAGGTAGAAACATAATAATGACCGACCGGCTAAATCTTTCAACGAAATGGCAGAGATTGCAAAAGCCACAATAACGATTATCGAATTCAAATGATCAAATTAGATTCACAAGAAAAAAAGGAAAATTACTGCCCAAAAAAAAAAAAAAAACCATCAGACTCAGACTAACTGCTCAACTAACAAATCAAAATCACATACTAACCACTTTTAAACATATTTGCAATAGCCAACATCACTTACCCCACTTTTGGTCGTCGCCACAGATCACATATCATCGTCCAAAAGGCCAGCAGTAAAGAACACAACCAAAACAAAACAAACTGACTCAATTGCTGCAACTAACATTAGAAAACAAAGAACACATACCAAAAACAAATTTCTCTAACCGACTCAATTACCTGTTTCAGGAAAGCAGCAAATCTTCTCAATTGGAAAATCAACTGTTTACTAATGCTTTTAAATTGTAGTTTTCCAAAAACCAGCAGCATTATCTCTAAACTGAAGAAACTATGAACGGAAAAATCATGTCGACGGTAGTTGTGTACATGAATTGATTGTAATGATAATGGTACTGGCAATTGTAATGCTACAAGTAGCAGAGAAGTTCACAATGAGAAGTTAGAATTCATGATAATGGCAGTATCTGTAGCACAGGTGGTGTCATCACAGGGCAGTGGTTATGGTGTTATGGCAAAAACATCAGCATCAGCAACATCAGAGAGTTTATGGTAGTTGGGCGGACAAATAGGTAATGGTGTTAATGACAGAGTTGCTGGATAATATATCGAATTATTAAAGGCGATATGAACAATACAACAATCTATACCACCTTTTTTCACTCATAAAAACCATAAATGCAAAGAAAAGACACCTTAGAAACTTTAAGATAAAATTTGAATGGAAAGAAAGCAATTGTACTTAAACAAGGTAAAGAAGCCAAATCAAAGAAAAATGCAACACAGGTCATAAAGAGTGAGATTAAGAGTGAAAAACATAAGATAACAAACATTGAAAGGAAGGGGGCAAAAATAGAGGAAGCTTTAAAGAGCAAGGAATGAGATTGATTTGAGATTAAGCGCTTCCATGTCTACATGAAGAAAGAAAAGAGACTAGTGGGTGGTCCAGCAAAAGTGAGGCAGGCTAGGAATAATGCTGATCCCATAGATTTAAATTATAATAAAAACAACTCAGCGGTCCATCTAGAACCCTACAACCTAAAATCAAAAAAGCAGCAAGACAGAGAGTATATATGAGTGTATACATAAACACGACCACCAAATTATTAACCATAAAATTTTTGTAACCACAAAAAGTCAAAACTGAAATTTTAAAAAAAAAAAAAAAAAGTCAAAATCAAACCAATTGATTCAGAAAACTGTTTTTTCAGTTTGAATTTCAACTTCAGAAAAGTTCTCCTTGAAAACACTGCAGTAAAGCTGTTTCCCAAACAAAAACTAGTAACTATCTAGAGGGGATCATTTGGTAAGGGAACTAGGGGTAAACAGATAAACTAAAGGGTAGCATACTCTCTAAACAAGCCCAACTCTTCTTGATGTTCAAGGATCAGAATCATTTTCTTTATTTCTAACAAGAAAATAGAGAAGCAAGTTGATGGTATTGATCATTTTCATCAGCAAAAAAAAAAAAAATTACTGACTGCTTGCAAAAGCCATGCAGAGTATCAATATGCCCAAGAAAAGAAATAAAGAGCTCAAAAAATCTTTGTGCCAAGACAATCAAGAAGATTTCAAACAATCTACCAGCACTGAGCACAATTTTTGAACCCACATCAAAGAACACAGTGCAGCAAAGAAAGTAAAACTAATCAGTCTACCAATACTAATGGTAGTCTTACAAAGCATGTGTGAGTCCATGTACAAAAGCGAACACACAAAGTTAATGAGGGTTCAAACAGTAAACCAATACTAGAAAAGTGACTCCACCATTTAAAATATGTATCTCAAACACAAACATAATCAGTTTAGACAGCTAACCATCTACTTTTGAAATGAAAAGACAAACTGAGAAACTGAGAAATCAAAAGGCTCAATGGAAAACCAACCAACCAACCACATTCAGCTCACAACTTCTTTCAGTTTGGTGTTCCAATTTCTTGCCAGTTTCAGAATCTTTATGAACTCTCACACAAGGGTTCTTCTAAACCAAACTGGACAACCCAGAGATAGATTATTGGAAGAGTGAACTTGAACTGGAACAAATAACTTAAATGTAGTTAACTTTTCCTAATCTTCAAGGATCAGAACTATTACCTCTATTTCAAATGAATAAAAGAGAGGAAAGTTAATGCCCTTCATTTTCAATTGTAATCACCATTTCATTGTTCCATAAGCCTAGTCTTATGAGATATATTCAAATCACTTGAGGCATAAACCAGTTTGTCAGGACATGAGTACTCGTAAAATATGAATTTGCAGGAAATGACGCATCAAAATTATAACCCCAATGTGCAGGATTGCAGGTCCTTACCACCCACCAAAATGCTTGAAGCTTTGAAAAGCACTTCATCAACCATCTAAAGTTATAAGGCACAAACATTTTCCTGTAAAATGAGGTTTCCTTGAAAAGGCATACTAAGGTCATTTCTTTATTTATACAGTGCAATCAGAATAAAATTTAACCCTAAAATCTATTCATCAAATGGGACACATTCATCAATACCAGAAAGTCCTGTCCCCTAATCAAAAGATTCTTTTTAAAGGTACCATAAAAATCTCTCTCAGAACATACAAAACTTAATTTGCTCAATCACCAACTAACATAATGAGAACCTATCAATTATTTAGCTCCTCGGATATGATACTATACAATGATTTATTTATGAGCATTGATAATGTTAATGAACAACCAAAATAAGTTACAAATGACAAGAGATTCCGAGTAATACTTTAATCCGATATCAACAGATATGATATCAACATCCACCTTGTAACCAAAAGTAACCACTAATATTTATTCAGCACAATTCCATACCAATTCACAAAAATCTCAGATCATATAACAGGTTAAGCTTTTATAATTCCCACATGTTAGGCATACAAACTCTAAACCTTTTTCATTTTTACACAAATCTTCAATGTAGTCTCCATAATGCCTCCATCAGCTTGCTTGATATTTTAACTACTGCACCACTTTTGACTGTGAACCCCTTGATTTAAAATTCTCTTTCAAACAAAGATGTCACCAATATGGTTTCAATTTCAGCTCAAGATGACAACAGGAAACCAATAGCTGAAATTTAGAAAAGTTCATTCCAAAAGTCCTCAAGTAGTTCAAACCTAAATGAAAAGGTAAAATGCCTATTCGAATCCTCAACATACAGAGTATATCACTTAGTCTATGTCCTCTGGAGACAACCTAAACTAGACAATTTAAACATTCAGCACACTGCATCATGTGATTCAGATAGAGAAAGCAAGAAGTAAGAGCATTGAGAGGAAAAACAGAAAGAAAACACCAAGAAAGTAATGGAGACGTGACTTCAACAATTTTTTTCAATAGCAAGCCATTTGCCTGTGACTATTGAAGCGCATCCTGCTATTCCAAGCCCCACCACCTAGTCACAATTAAAATTAGAAGCATAAACCATTAGCATTAAAAGTTCACCTTTAAAAAAGAAAATTTAAGAGCGCAAGGCAGTTCATATTACCAAACAGCCATATGTCTAATAGTAATAACCACCTCCATATGGACGATCATTCCTGTAATAAGGTGGATATGCACCATACTGCAACAGAAATAAGCGATAAAATATGATGAGATTGTCAACACTTGCACATGAAATGAGATAAGAAAGGGATTGATTACTTACTTCAGGACCATAATAACCATGCGAGTAAGGATCGCCGCCTGCTTCATAATTGTCTAAAAGATGAAACCAAAAGATGATAAATATCACAAAAAAATAAACCAGATAATAAAACCATGCCAATAGAAAGCAATAATGAGAATGAATTACCCCTACCACGATAATGTGTCCCGTGAAATGGAACTCCTGGGTCAGCATAATCTACCCGGGGCCTGAGCCTACTAGGTTCTGAATAATCAGGTTCATGGTCCTAAAGCAAGAGAAAAAGTTATAAACTCATAAAGATACTAACAGAGGCAACAGAGGCCACAGCAATACAGCCTATAGATGAACATCAACCAAAGGAAGAAGATAAAGAAATCCAACTCACATTCACATTCACCTTTAAGCAAGCAAAAGAGGAAGCGTCTATATATAGACGACAGAACTTACAGTCATGTAAAATGGCCGCTTCATTCCATGTGCACCATCATCATAGAAATAAGGGTCATCAAAGTGCCTCCCGACATAAGGCCTATCAAAGGCTTCTGGAGAAAATGGTGGCCTCCTAGAGGAAGCATGGTCCCCATGCCCTCTTTCAGAGGCATTAAACCAAGGTCTACTGAAATTAGTTCTCGATGGACCACCAGCTGCGACACCCCTGCCAGCAGGGTGATAACCACCTCTGAGAGCACCCCTTCTTCCTCCTAATTTTGTATATTAGCATTAAATTAGATTGCAAGAGAACCTAAAGATTGTCTTTGTGAATGTGTGAATGTAAAGCGAGAAAGAGAGAGAACCTCGGCCAATAATTTGCCTCCCATGAAACATGTCATATCTGTTATTGAAATGATACTCGTTGGGACCCATTCTACTAGGTTGACCACGCCCTCTCTGATAGAAACCCCTACCGCGCTGGAAATTTGACCAGTTGAAGTGATGTCCACCACGCCCAAAACCCCTTCCTGTGAAAAATTAATGATAAATCACATGCAACTGTATAACTTACAAACAATCAGAAAGATATTAACCCTCAAAAATAGAACATACCAAATCTTGAAGAGGTTCCACTGCCAGCACGATCAATCAGAAAGCCACCACACATTCCACCCTTCACAGCCTGAGTTTTAGGCATAGGATTTGACAACCTTGCCTTCACTCTTGTCTGCCAGTAAATGAGAACACCATGAACACAGTTAAACAACATCCGCTTGAGTTCAATACTAGGTTAAAAATTTATCATGCATTGTGCAAAAGAATCAGTGAATGCTGCAGACATTTACGGTGAAATAAAAAATTTTATCTTAGACAAAGCATGCAGTGACATTATGGATGTCTTTATTACAAATGAAAGGGATGCACTCAGTTACCAAGCTTGTTTTCTCAATTTCTACAAGGAAACATAAAGAAAAAAGAAAAAAAAAATTATAAAGGAGAGGAAATAAAAGAGACAACAAAAAAAGTACTTTTACCACCCTTAAATTCCTTTTAAAAGAAAATGCTAAGAAAAATGGACTATACAGGTAAAAATAATTTTTGTCACAAAGCAAAATTGACATAGGAGAGGAAACTCCTAATACTATACCTTTGAGTTCCCATCACCCACTTCTGTGTTGTTTATTCTTTCAATACAAGCAACAGCAGCTTCATGGGACGAGAAATCAACAAATCCAAAATCCTTCCTCTTGGCAGTTGACATGTTTCGGGCCAGGACAACTCGCACTATCTCCCCATAACCTTGCAAGTGTTCCCTAACACGGTCTTCATCCCAGAAAGGAGGAAGCCCATCAAGAAATACTGTCTTTACATGGGCCATAACTTCTGGATCAGGCTCACGTATAGGTTCAGCAAATGCTACTTTGGCAGTTCTCTCGGCATGACCAAATACAACATCATGCTTCTGAAGCCTCTTGTATGCATGCATTGCATCAGCATGGCAAGAGAACTCAAGAAATGCAAAACCACGGCTCCTTCCTTCATGCTGAACATCTGGGACGAGAGTGATGTTTTCAACACCTTCAACACCATATTCCTTCAACTTTTGTCTTATCTGCGAACAAGCATTCATCAAACATCAATTAACAAAAGCAATGTAAAACATTTATGAAATACTTACAGCTTCCTTTGTCCATGTGTTGCATATATTGCCCAAAAACAAAGTATCATTGTCCTCACTTGGTGCTGTTCCACATCGCTTTCCACAAATCTACAAACATGAAGACTTAGAACCAAGCATAAAAATGCTTATAAAAAAGAACTATAAGGAGATTCATACCACAGGGTTTTTCATTTCTGACAAAGCACGTTTCACGTGCTCCTTGTTTGCAAACTTGACAAATGCATATCCCTTGCTCTTATTTGTTGAAAGATTCCTATGCAATCGAACTTCAACTACTTCACCAATTTTCTCAAATACCTTTCTCACATCCTCCTCTGTAGCTTCTTTATCCAAGCCACCAACAAATATTTCATATTCTTTCTTTATCTTACGCTCCTTAGCTACAGCTGTTAATTCCTTTTGCTCCTCTTCTAGTGCCTCATCTTCTTCAACAGGCTCCTCAGGATCCTCTTCTACAAAGTCATCCTCACCATGATCCTCAAAGTCCAACCTATCACCATACTCCTCATATCCCTCGTCACCACCATATTCATCCTGTGAAGGTTGGGTCTCTTCCACTTGCAAATCCTCTTGGAAATTTTCTTTTTTATCAACAGCCTCAACTTTCTTGTCTTCCATGTTATCAAGATAATTTGTCTCAACCAACTTCGCTTCCTCTTCTTTGTCTGAGCTGATTGGTTCTTGATCCTTAGGGACCTCGCTGACCTCATTGGAAGGCAAGTCCATGTCCATTGTAGTTTGCTCCTCAGGGTCTTCATCGGTTTCTGCTGTTGACTGATTCTCCCTACCATATTCAACTACAGGTTCTTCTAGTTCAATCACAGCTTTTCCTTTCTCTAAAGATTCTGCAACATTTTCAGCAGCAGGTTCTCCCACTTCACTATTAGTTTCTTCCTTCTTTGCTAATTCCCCAACATTTTCATTAGCAGATTCCCCATTATTCACAGAGTCAAATTCCTTTACAGCAGCCACTTCCTCCTTCACACTCTCTTCATCCTTATCCTTTACACATTCTTCTATCTTCGGCATCTCCCCAGAAACAGCTTTTTCTGCAGCAGGAGTTTTAGTCTTTGCAGGCGTTTTTTTAACTACCTTCACTACTTTCTTCACTATTTTCTTGCGTGATACAACTTTTGTTTCAGGCGTCACTAAATTAGCATCCGTAGATGCGTTTGTTTCAGCAGTTACTATATTAAAAGAAAATGCATCTCATTAATCCATCAAAAACAGATAATAACCTTAATAAAAAAAAAAAAAAAAAAAAAAAAAAAAAAAAAATTGTTTTCCAGCGTCATAATTTACATCCGTAGATGCGTTGTTCAAGCAGTTACTGATCAGTTAAAAGAAATGCTAATGCTCAATTAATCATCACAACAAGATAATAACCTTACAAAAAAAAAAAAAAAAAAAAAAAAAAAACAACGAGGTCCAAAGGAAAAATTGTACCTTTATATTAATAAAGCAGGTTTTTTTTTGCCTTCTTCTTCGGCGAAATTTCTAAGTATAATTCATGGGCTCAAAGTGAAAAAAAAAAAAAAAAAAAAAAAAAAAAAAAAAAAAAAAACGAGGTCAAGGATCAAAAAATTGACCTTTAATTCAATAAAGCAGGTTTTTTTTTCCTCTTCTCCGGTCGAAATTCTAAAGTATATAACTTTCATGCTCAAATTGAAAGCTAAGAAATTTAAAACTAACGCGCATGATACACGAACCAAGTAATGCCCTAAGTCAATATAATTCAATAATACCTGTAGCTTGTTCAGGCTTTGAATCAGAACCGGAAATCGGCGAGGTTGTGGCGGCTTCGTTGTTCTTTGCCTGCTTTGCTTTGGCAGCAGCGCTGCGCTTTGTCTCCGAGGTCTTTGGAGTGACGGATTCCGCAGCAGAATCGGGTGTGTTTTTGGTGGCCGATTTCCTGGACGGCGGCGTCTTTTTAGGAGCCGCCGATTTCGTCGCATCGGCATTTCTAGTCCTCATGTCGATCTGTCGTCGATGAGTGATTTTCACCAGTTTTCTGATTGCTGAACGAAGAGGAGGCAACAGATATGGAAGCGCAAACGAGGTGAATGTGTACCAAGGATTGAGGTAAGACGGCGTCGCTTTTTGTTGCTAGAAACGGGGGAGGAGACTGTCGTTTCATGACTAGCAAATTTCTCGGATTAATTATAGTGAATTAGAATAAATATAATAAGCTAGAATAATGAATTAAGACAACTTTAATAAATTATAGTAATTATAATAAATTAAAAATTCCAGCTTCATAAATTTTATTAAATTCCTCCTTTTGAATTATTTTAGAAAAATTAATTTAGATAACTCAGTGACTAAGATCACATATTAAGGTTGTGTTTGATTAGGTGTAATGCAATGTAATTAACACTCTATTATTATATAAAAATTTTTATAGCACCTTCAACTATTATTTTGATTTATTGAATACTTTAATTTATAAAATTATACTAATTAAATACTTCAACTTGCAAAAATTATTCCATTGAATACTCAAACTTTTTAAATTAGATCAATTAAACACTTATTAAATAGTTGAAAAATGTGAAAATTATACTAACTAGCATTAAATTGATATATTGCAAATAAATTCCAAAAATACTAAAAAAATATTATTGCTAGTATAAAGAGGGATACAATATAAATAAAATTCACAGCTTCATGGGCATGATAGGTCACTCATAAAATTTAACCAGCCACAAAGATTTTTTCTTGAAGTACAAGGATACATTCATGCATTTTACCATTTATTTATTCTTGTTTTGTTATTACATACTATACATATGTGTTATAATTAATTAACAATCACTACATATTAAATCCATAATTCTTAATTTATCCCCTAAATTATCAATTTCTTATAAATTAAGTCAAGTAACTAAAAAAGTCAATATCCTTGGTGATCAAGGCATTGATTTCATGTACACAATCCAGTAGTTGGGTTTGGTTCAATATAAGTTGTTGCACTATTTCATATTCATGCAGCTAGCTCTATCTCTTTGTTGGCTTGCTGAAATGTGTAGAAATTTTGTGAAAGGAAGACAGGGACTCAGTCATTAAACTATTTTTTCAAATAGTTCAAATGTGTAAGTGTTTCTTTTATATATTCATTTCTATTTGTTAATCTGGTTTGGGCTGGTTAAACTAAAAAAGTTTAAATCGAATTAATCGGTTTGGTTTGATTTTTAGATTTCAATTTAGTTTTAGTTTGAGTTTTGATTTTTATTACGTAATACTGAAAATCGAATCAAATTGAACCTAAAAATAAGTGAAAATTAAAAAATTAAAATCAACCAAACTAATTGAATTCAATTATGTAAATTAACTAATTTGGTTTGATTTGATTTACATTTTAAAAAATTTTGATTTATTTAGTTTTCATTGAATCATTTCGATTTTGACTAACCCTAATATTTATCCCTTTTATTTGAAATTTCCCTTGAATTATTATTTTTTATACCGTTTATTGCTTATCTGTTTATATTTATTATCCATCTATAAGATCCTGCATGTGATAAAAACAAAGTGAAAATCAATATTTTATAACACCTTAAAGCTTAAACTTTTACGCTCTATTTGGTATAAATAAATTCAAAATATGAAATTTATTTATAAATGAATTCTAAATAAAATTTATTTATAAATAAAATATTAATGTTTGGAATAAATTTAAATTTGAAAATTCATTTACTTTTATTTCTAAAATATCATTGACATAATAATTTTATAAGAGTAGAACGATGGATAATTTTATCATAAATCTTTGGTTATTTAAGTTTGTGGTATTCATTTGAAATTTCCACTTTTTTTTTTTTAGAATTTGGTTTAGTTATATTTAAATTCATAAAATTAAATTCGTACAATTTAATTCTTCATTTTTTTCATATCAAATACAAAAATTTGAATTTATAAATGAATTTTACACAATTTGTAGAATTTAATTATTCCAAATAAGGGGTTAGAATTAGATATGAGATTCTATATATACATGCATTTCATTTACTTATTTTCTTTTAAAATTTTTAAAGCTTTTGTGATTTTTTTAACATTTAACATCTTCTAATAAATTTTTTTATTACAAATTAAAAAATACGACTTCACAAGGGTTATAACGTTATAATATTTGTTTTTTAAAAAATTATTTTAATCTGTTTTTATTTTTTTTCCTTCTATCAATGAAGTGACTTTCAAGTTTTGGTAAAAAGAAAAAAAATTTCACGTAATATATTTAAATTGAGTTATATAATTATAAAAATACATTTTTATTCAGCAATTAACTCAAATATATTAAAAAGTTAGATGGATTATAAGAGGATGGAGGACAATGATGATTGTTTTGTTCCTCTCGTGCATAATGGCAAAATTGCCTCTGCTGAACTTATTCTTCTGAGTCCTCCCTCTTTTCCTCTTGGAAACAAAACCTAATTTTCAGTCTAAATTACAATTATAATCTATTTTTTTTAGCGTTTAATAATAATAGAAAATAATATTTAAGCATAATTATTAAATTTTGCAGTTTTTTTTTTTTTTTTTTTGACTTAATTATGCCATCTTGAATGCTAAAAATGATTTTTTTTTCTTTGTTTTTAAAAAAGCATATATCATGGTAACAATTTGAAAGTTTTAAACATAATTATATGCACACGGGGGATCAAAAATTGGTAGGAAAAGTTGTGGTATGTGGAGGTGCATGATGGTTTGTAAGGAAGCACATCAGATGGATGATAAGCTTGCTGATCTTGCAGTAGAGTATGGTTTTGTCATAAATTGCTTGTTCCAACATCCAAAGTAGTAATATTTTCTTTTCCCTACCTAGAAGTTTCAACCTCAACATCAAACAGGCCCTGAGACCCCCTGCATTTCATATTTTTCAATGATACTTGCACATTATTCCAACAAGAAGGTAAACATCAAAGTCAAAGGAAAGGAAGGCACATGGGAAAAAGGGATTGATTCGAGTTTATTTGTTGCAACTCTATCACTACTTCAAATGGTGCTCGAACAGGGATGCCATCTCTATCTGCAATACAAGCCAAATTAACCAGGCCAGAGTGAGTTAAAAAAAACAATAGTGAAGTTCATTGTCTTGTCTTTCTATAACTGATGGAAATGGTAGTTCTTTTAGAAACAAAAAGAAAAAGAAACATGACTCGAGGGAAAATAAGAACTGCAGTGTAATGAACTAGTTTTCACACAGTTAATGAGCATGCTAGCAAGCCAATTACTAAATGTATGATAAACACATTACAAATGCCAATCTGTATGCCGTAGCCCAATGGACCTTCAACATGCGCCGGTAGTATACTGACTAAAGCATGACTGTCAGGGACAATGGCTTCTCAAAATATAACTAAACGGTGACCTATCATCAAAAGCAGGGAATTCTAGCTTCTCAACCTAAACGCCAGCTTAGCTAACATTATTAATCAAAAGTTAACATCAACTTACAGCTGTCAGTGCACCCTCAGCACCCTTATTCCCAGCTTTTCCACCTGCTCGATTTAAAGCCTGCAATTATTGTTACATGCAACATTCTCATATCATATATATAGGTATAGTCATTCTGTATGCAATTGCTTTTACCATAACTTTACCTGATCCATGTCATCACATGTTAGAACGCCAAATATGCATGGAACTCCTGCAACATCATAAAATAAATGTATCATTTAACATTAGGATGCCAATGAACAAAATTTGACACTAGAGCATCAAAATGATTGACAATTTATTGAAAATATCACCATTGATTTCAAGATCATTTGCTGATGTAAACTAGCTATATGAAGCTCAAGGAATCATAAAACTGAACGACATAGTCATACACATAGACAATTATTGTTTTATTTTTTACTTTAGGGTCATTTTACATTTCCACGAGCAATACGCTTCATGCTAAAATTAAGTTTTCAGGTTTCTTTGCTACATATTCTACAATTCTAACTTGGTCTGTGTTAAAATCAACTCAGACAATGTGGTATTTCTGCGGTTTTCAAATGGTAGGAGGCGTGCAGTTTTGTTGATCCAGAGGTCCTGGTTTGTTATATGAGCTATTGGTCCCATATTTCAAGTTTGTGTATTTTTAAGCATATCTCATAGCAAAAGTTTCTAACTACAAATGCTACATGTCTCTATTTTGGAACCTTAACATTGTTATATTTAGAGAGCTCAATGCAGTAGATATTAAGTCAGATATATTTAGTAAATATAAAGCTATTTTGAACAAGTGCCAAAAATCTCTAATGCTAGGCATGATCCCTAAAAGTTTCAAATACATGATAACTAAATGAAAGGAGGACTTGAGAGATTAGCGATATGGCAACTACAATTAGTATCTTTTGAATAACATTTTCCTTAACTCAAATGCTATTGTCAGTAAATTACTCCTTCACACTCACTTTACAAGTATGGAATTTGATGCTACAGACCCTTAATAAAAAATAAAGTAATGAAGATGTTAGAGTCAAAGCTTTCGAAAACTTCGTCAATAACAGGAAAACGAATTCCAAAGCCATGCCAGCATGAATGTCCATGTTAGCAAGTGCATTCACTATGCAAGATGCTTTAACGTAATTAGTACAAAACTTATACGAAATGGCTCTTCATAGTCGGAATTGCTTGTAGACAACAATTCATAGTGATTGCATCACTAATTTGACTAAATATATGTGCACAAGTAAAACAAGCTTGTAAATAGAGAGCACAGGCTAAAATCTGGTTAACATTTATGTCCCAAATACAGGGAACAATTTGTCTCAACCTTAGCACATAATGCAAGCGCAAAGACAACAAAATTATCAAAATCTTAATACAAATAGCACAAATCAATAATACCAACCTGAATTTATACCAGCTGAAAGTACGCCAGATGCTGCTGAATTAGCAACAGCATCATAGTGGGTAGTATCACCTCTTATCTAAGCAAAAAGACATAACAAATTAGGTATTGCCAACATCCTCTCATTATCAATAACAAGTAGAAATCCTACCACAGCTCCAATACATAAAATTGCATGATAATTTCCTGACTTCCCTAGCCTTTCTGCAACAATGCCTATTTCAAAGCTACCAGGAACCCACACAACCTGTGATGAAAAAATCAAGAGAATAACTGTGTAATGCAAAAACTTGCCCATAAGAAGAACTTATAAAGAAAAAAAAAAAAAAAAAAAAAAAAAAAAAAAACTGGTGTAAATGCAAAACTTTGCCCATAAGAAGACTTATTAAAAAAAAAAAAAAAAAAAAAAAAAAAAAAAAAAAAAAAGATTCAAAACTTCATTTGGACAGTTTCTTACATCAACATCTTCTTCCTTAACTGAATATTTCTTGAAAGTTTCCAAGGCACCCTCCAAAAGATGCTTTGTCACAATCTCATTGAACCGTGCTACAACCTTTCATGTCATTCCAAGTAAATTTCAGTAATAAGAGATAATAAATCGTATAAACAAAGCAAGCAAAAACAACAAATGCCTCAAGATTCTCCACAAACTAGCAGCACAATTACATATACAACCCCAAAATTGAGGAATTTGATTCTATTAGGCCCAAATTTCCAATTTCGACTTTGGAGACATTTTCTTTTTAAATTTTAAGTAATAAAAACTAAGATATGCAGTGGACTTCAGAACAGGAGTTTATTAAAATCATAAATCTAAACAAATGAAGTTTGATTTTGCAAGAATCAATTCTTTTTTATCATGGCATCCATTTCCCTATTGCCGGATTCACAGTCCACTTCCTCCAAATACCTACTTCAGAATGTTTATCAGAGTAATGCAAGATGGATAATCTTTCTCTACCCAATAAGTACGCTTTTTTAGCTTACCTGGCCGATCTCCCAGACTAGACTACATTCCTTACCTAGCCATTAAAATTTATTCCAAAATATGAATTTCAATAGACAACCAAATTCTAATAATTGAGCTATTCGAAAATAAAATGGAACTGACCACAGCGAAGCGAAGGCCCTCCCCTCTGGTTAGCGATCCAACCAAATGCCTAACCGCCGCCGTTTCCAAAAACGATGACCGCTGCTCCTTCCTCCCAATGGAAATGCCAGTCGCAAACCCTGTTGAACTTTCAAATTAAAGATCAAAAACTGATCTTGCACACTATGTAAGGATCCAAAATGGTTAGTAGCAAGTAACCTAGCATAGAAGTAGAAACAAAAGGAGAAGGGAAGGACAGGTTCGATGGTCTTTGAAGGAGAAAGCTATGTTGCTCGACATGGGAACGGTGGAGATGAGTCGAAGCTGAAGAGGTGAGACGGAGACGTGAAGAAGCTAATGAAGCCATTGTTGTTGTGGAGAGAATGTAAAAAAAAAAAAAAAAAAAAAAAGACAGAATAAAAAAAAAAAAAAAAAAAAAGCAAAAATGGTTGCAAAAATAGGATGACAAGAGTTGAATAGTCGTTATCAGTTTGCTTTCTATTTGGTTGCAGAGGTAGGCCGTTTACACGGTTACACTCTAGATAGTGATGGCAAGCTGGGCAGGTAGCCGCTAAAAATCAACTACCCGAACCTGATTGTCAATTTAAGTATCTGAACCTGAAAATGCAACAGAAAATATATAAAAAATTCATATTAAAAATCAACTTGAAAATAATAAAACAATTTTAACATGAAATAATAAAACGACAATACATAATAATATTAAAATAGAACAAAAAAAATTTTAAAAATTCAACCTAAATAAATAATAGACACAGAGTTTTATTTGTAAAGGAAAGCGGTTCAAACTCATAATACTGCTGATATATTCCCCCAAAGTTTATCTATGCTTAAGATACTATTTGTGGGAATGAGTTCCATTATATAATTATTGTTTTTAGTAGGTTTGACACATTTAGTTTTGTCTTCTTTAGACTAATATTTTCTTGTATTCTGCACTCTCTATATGTTTTTATGGTATATTACAACTTAATCATAAGCATTTTGTCTTTTGTCTCATTAAACTGGCATGCTTCCTTGAATCAGGATGGCAATTTTATGGTAGGATGCTTGGGATATCCGCTGGTTGGCATACAAGTTCTTAAACCTATACAAGTTTTTTTGTACATCTCTTCAATTACTTCACATGATATTTTGTTCAACCTATGAAAGATAAGTAATTCATGTATTACTACATTAAATTGTTGGTGTAAGGACAGCATGAGAACGACTTGGACTTTAGAAATTAGGGGTAAAGTTTATAGAAATAAGTAAGGGGCCAGGGCTTAAAAATGTATGATGGCAGATCTGGTTTTCTTTATAATAATAAAGAAAAAACTACTAGCATCAAAATTTCTAGAGAAAGAATTGCATCACAAATCTCCTCTGAAAGATAAAAGCATAATTTGCTGGAATTTATTGAATGAAAACTTCATTATAAATCATTACAAGCATGGGTTTTTACAGGCACAAACTAATCCTAAACCTTTTTAATAGGACTTCAGAAATAGTCCTCATCCTCCAAGGACTTGGACTCCCAACATGTTCTTAGAGGAGTATTATTATCCTAGACAACAAGGACGTTAAAATAAGACTTAAGATAAATATAATTACTTGCAAAGAAATTGGGACATATTTTCCAACAAAACAGGAATTACAAAATTGCCTCTCAAACTTAAACTTCTCGACAAAACTTATTTATTTAAATATACAAGTAAATATAGCTCTAAAAGGATAAGAAATATACTATAATATCTGAAATACTTCATAGATTATTGACGATTGAGAATTTACTTAGATAAGCTCTTGTTGCTTATTGTTTTGGAGGGAAATTTTTACTTTGGTTTTTGATACAGAGCAAACTGTGTTAGCAAGTTTTTTTCTGGGGTTAGCTGAAAAGTTAATTTACTTGTAAGTTAATATAAAAAAAAAGGAAGAAAGAAGAAAGCAAATTATGGGTAGTATGGTTAAAACTAGGTAAACTCTCATGCGTATTATTGTTTGTGCAATAAATAAATTAGCTCCTTTTGAAGGTTCATTTTACAGAACCAGTTTTCGGTGTGCTGTGAATGAGTAAATCTTTGCTGAGCATAATTCTCAAATTCTCAAGTTTTCCGAATTTAAATTTTCTTAATTTCCTAGTCTGCGTCCCTTGTTGTTCCTGAACCCTGATTTTATTAGTAGTAATCAAAACAATAAATAATGCACAAAAAAATTTACGCATTTGCATTCTCTGCATATTTTCATTTCAGTAATCAGTAGTGGGAACTTGGAATTCATTTCTCCTGTAATAATTTTCATTAAATCAAAATAAATACAATAAAGTTTACTTAGTTGTTATAAAAAACCAACAGGTTTTTGACAGCCATGGCTAGCCTAGTTGCATTACATAGAGCCACTTTCATGTCATTTTCTCAAAATATCCATTACAGTGATTATATGAGTTCCATATTGATTTGTTCTCACACAAAATATCTAATTTCCCCTCTCTTTTTTCTCTTTTAATACATACACACTTTCAAGAAATTAATTAGCTTCATTCAACTTAACAGGAAGCTTTGAATAACAAAGTAACCCATCTTAGATGGAAAATAACAAATAAAACCTGCAAAAAATCAATAAAAGAAAAAATAAAATAATAAACATCTATCTTTGTCTTTCTCGGCTAAACCTACAAATGAATTCAACCATATATTCAACATTTCCTCTTTTTTTGCCAAATAAAACCAAAAAAAGAAAAAGGAATCGGTAGGAATAAGATCTTTAACCGGTAAAAAAAATGAAAACAGTTAAGACTCGTTAGAACTGATCAACAATTAGAAATATAAAGCTTTTACTTTTCATTTTTGACTAAAACTATTGAGATTAAAGACAAAGTAGGAAAATACAGATCCGCTTAAAATCAGCATAACTATACATTAGAGAAAGGATAGCTTTACCGTACCTGGAGGAATGCTCCGGTAGAAGAAAGCCAGAAAAAGCGCCACGAGGAAGAAGAGGGGAAAAGAGGAGATGAGGGGGAATTTTGTTTTCTTTGAATCAGTAAAATGCAACCCTGAGCTACAACGACGTAGTTTTAGACTCCCTGCATCAATGCTACGTAGTTGATGGTAAAATGATAATAATAGTGCCTTATCATGCCTTACAAATGAATTTACCGTTACCTTCGTCACTGTACTTACTTTATTGTTAGGTGCTTTTTTCACCCGAAAAATGTTCAAATTCCAACATCGAATTGCAGAACACAATCAAATTTGCAATCATGGGCGCTTCAGAATCTGCCCTCTCGAGCTCGCAGGTAACTATTCAATTTCACTAGTCCGTCCAACATAGATTTCGCTACTCTTAATTCTTCACTTGTATTAACACTTGAGCTTTATCTAACTGCGGCCGTTAAGGCACTGGCCGATGAGATCACTACGGTTTCCGAACGATCGCAGAGCCTCGATCCCATTCTGGAGAGGCTCAAATCCCTCAAAATTGTAACTTTCTTGCCCTTTCGATCAATTTTAGTTATCGTTTGTTCAAGATTTTCAATTGATTCGAAATCAATTTAACGGTTTTAACTGTAGTCAATGCCGATTCTGACGTCACCACCGGAGGAGGAGAGCAGCTTGACTGACATTTTGCTCAGAAAGCCGTTGTCTTCATCAGCTCACTGTAAGTCTAGTAAAGGACTCCTCAAATTTCTTCCTCTTTTTTCTTTATTTCTCAGTTGGAATTTTTAGGGTTTGAGTCTATGTTGATTGATTTTATCCCCTTTGTAATTATGTACCAGAAATTGTAATTGCAACAATAGTTATTAATTATTTGGGGTTTGTTTTTGAACAAGACTGGTAAGTTATTTCTCCAAAAAAAGAATAAGACTATTAAGTTATTTTGTCTGATTTAATCATTTCATATTAGAACACTATAAGCAAGTTAACTGAAATGGTGCAAGTTAATTGTGTCCTTTGGGGCTGTTGTACTGAGTCAAAGGTCACATACAGCTTCTATGATATAGTTTATAATAGAGCTTTGTTGCTCTAAAATATCTATAGAAGCGTGAAAAAACAGCATGGAGAAAATGCAACCTCAATGGAAAAGCTTTCTCTATTATCCCCATGAAGTTAGCTTTGAATGTATATATGCATTATATGTAGAGAGGCAATCGATGCCTATCCTTCCTTTGTGGGCTTGGAGTTTGATTTTTCAGTTTTCTCAATGGTTTTCTGTACTAATAACTCACTGGTTTCACTGAGATTCATTATTTGCATTGACTAATTTCTTTATGTATATTGTATCTTGTGATTTCTAAATCCTGGAATCATAAAATATTAGTTGAAAGGACCTTAAAATATCATGGCCTTTTAGTCCAAACATTCTGCATATCTATGCATTCGATGCAATTTGCTAGGCTGAAAAAAACCAGTAGCTGTGACTGTATCTGAATCCTTGATTTCTAAAGCACAATGATCGCAGCCGTTACACTTTTAGGATTTAAAACTTGAGGACATTCATTGTGGGATAGTAGGAGTGTTATCTCAATTTGCCAAGGATGTTAACTGAGAACTTTGAAAATTTCTTTTCAGTTATCTGTCTCTTAGATTATGGTCGATGTTGTGCATGTGAAGAAAGTCACCAATCATTATACCTATTTTCATATATTTTTCCTTTCTTCAAGTAAAGTTGTTGTCCCAACAAGTTGGTGATGGTCGTTTAATTTGGTTTTCATTCATCATATGGTTTTAGTTCTGATCTTGTGATATTGGTTCATTTCAAATCATTTGCTGTATGTTTTTCATCTCCATTTAAAAGACAATTTTTTTTTTTCTCAGCTAATTTTTCTACTTCCTTTTTCCTTTCTCTGTCTTGCTTTATTCTAAATTTTCTTCGTGCTTTTACTCGATGGTCAATGTAGCTACTGTGAATCCAAATGTGCTACTGGAGCTCTTCTCAATGTATCGTGAATGGCAAGATGAGAAGGCCCAACAGATTAGCAAGAAGCAGGTTTGCCCGTCTGTCATAAATGCTATGAGCTCTAGAATAGTTTAAGAATGACAGTTAATGATTAATTTTTTGTGAAGGCATGGGATGGAATCTCCTTTTTTTTTTTGGCGGGGTGGATTTTGGTGGGGTTTTTGTAGTAATTTATTACTAAGTTTCATAATCATTTTTCCTCAAAAGTAAATTTTAACATAGTTTAAGGTTCAGGTTGGGCCAGACTAATGTTTTGTCAAATAAGTATGAGAAGCTGATAACCTGCATAAGCTGTCTGATAATCGAGATTCGAGTATTAGTGTCTGATGGAAAGAAGCTACGTACAAACTGAAAGAGTCTACTGGGACATAAATTGGGAACTCTGTTTTGCAATCTGTTTTGATTTTAGTTTGGGCAGTCAACAGTTATCACTTCATCAGGCAAAACAACAATTTTGCTATTTTATACTATAGGATCTAGAAAGCTTAAGGTGCTTCCACAATAACATGGTGAAAATCATTGCAGGAAGAGATTGAAAATAAGATAGAAGTTGCAGATGCTTTGGCAACCAAACTTCTTCAACGGTTCAATTATTCCGTATCAGCAATGAAGACTACATCACAGCATCTATCAGAAGGTAATTAGTTGATTATGTATCAAATAATTATTATTCATTGTAGCATCTGATATAGAATATACAATGAAAAAAGATTTCCTTTCAAGAGTCCTTGGCACATATTTCTATATAGATCCTGATTGCACACTTTGGAAATGCATGCAGTTCATCCACTGCAAGTAGAGCTTGGGGAGCTCAAAGGAAGGTTAACTGAGGTAATTAGTAACTGTGATGCATTATGCAAGAGAATCGCTGCAGAGGGACCAGAATCTCTTCGGAAAACTGTTAAGCCATTTGCAGTTGCTACCACCGACTCAGATGTCAGCTGTAACTCATCTTCTCAGCTAGATCTAGAAAGAACTCTGCCTTCACATGAAATCAAGTCAGACAGACTTTCTCACTCTTAACCCTTTTTCTTGTATAGAGTAATTTTATAACCCTTTTAGTCTTCATTGAAGATTGAGGTTCGTAAATAGCCATTATCTAGCATGCAAATCTGATAGGATGAGATACACTAAAAGACTTTTCCTGTTGTCCCATTTTTAAGCATCAGGCCCTCACCGACACGACATTACATGAATTTAGATATAAACTTTCTTGTGCAAGAGACAAAGGAAAACCTAAAAAAATCCCCCACCAGCCCATTGCTTTGGTCCTATTAAGTTGACAGATGAAGCAAGATTAATAAAAGCCAGCTATTGTTTGCTACTTGAAAGTATCATCTGAGCTCACGTGCAAAGTTCCACTCTGTTGATGTTGAAATAGACATAAGCTCTGTTCTTGATGACTGAAAAATTCTTCTCTATTATTGTTTTGTATGCATAATTAACGAGAGAAAAGTATATTTGAAAATTGTTTATTCAAAGAATTTATTTATTTCAGTAAAAACATTTCTATAGAACAAATATCATTTCGTATGGCATAAGCTTACAACTAACCATCAAAGACATAATTAACCATTTCTAACCTAAATGGATGGAACTAATATTATTATGATCATTAAGTTTTGATTGGCTATGTAGTTTTAAGTTTTAACTAACCACATGCTAGTGCTAGGTACAATTTTAATAAATATTAATTTTTTGGTATTAAATTTCTTTTTTTTAAAATTATTTTCTAATACTTATATAATTTATTTGAAATAAATAATTATATAATTTGTAATATTCAAAGTTAATTTAATTTAATAAAGATATTTAAATATTATGTAAATTTAATTATGATAGTAAACTTTTTTTTTTTTTTATTTTAAATGATAACAAGAATAATTAATGATAATCAATATTATTATAGAAATAGGAAGAAAAAAAAAAAAAAAAAAAAGTAAACTTTTTTTTTTTTTTATTTTACAATGATAACAAGAATAATAATGATAATCAATATATTATATGAAATAGGAAGAAAAAAAAAAAAAACCGAAAAAAAAAAAAAAAAAAAACCAAGTGAGGCTTACAAGGAAAATGTGTTAAACCAAAAAAACTTCAAATTTGAAAACAAAAATGCTAAATAAACCATTAAAACAATGAAAAGAACAAAAAGAGAGTAACAATGAAGGAAAAGGAAGGACCTGGAGGCAAGTGACCAGCCAAAGTGGCCAATACTCTCCATATATAGCTAAGCATTTTAGGAGCAGAGGCTGGCCAGAGAGATTAAAGAAAAGTACTCATATTTATTCTAATAACTCCTCTTGTTTTCACATGCTATTACCATTAGCTTAACTGACTATATACATATAGGTTATGGAGAGTAATCAAAATTACCAAAAGCTGAAATTGAATTAATTTGATTTCCAGATAATAGAATTTCAAATGGACATTAACCAAGAACATTTTTTTATTTTTTTTATTTTTTTGACTAAGGAGGAAGATTTATTGATTGAATTCAAGAACATTAGTTACATCAGCTTCTGTAAATAAACAAATTGAAGAACAACATAAATAAACAGAACATTCCTTTAGATTAAATAACAACAACACAAAATATAAATATAAATATAAATAAATTCCTCCCTTAGAACAAAATGGAACTCTATTAACCAATAATAATACTAGTAATTGTAAATCTAATACTTCAAATTTTACCAGTATTTCAGTAACCTCAAATTGTTGCTATAATCTGATATGGAACAGATCAAGGCTGTTGCTGTGCATCCATGTAGCCAGCATCAACAAGCACCTTCTCTCTTTTCGCTATTTCAATATCTTCATCCACCATCATCTTAACCAGTTGCTCAAACCCAACTTTTGGCTTCCAACCAAGAACTTTTCTTGTCTTACTTGAATCTCCTTTCAAATTATCAACTTCTGCTGGTCTAAAGTACCTTTTATCAATCACCACATGATCTTTCCAGTTCAATCCCACATACCCAAATGCCACTTCCAAAAATTCCTCCACCGTATGCGACTCCTCAGTAGCCACTACATAATCGTCTGGCATTTCTTGCTGCAGCATCATCCACATCGCTTCTACATAATCTCCCGCAAATCCCCAATCTCTTGAGGCACTCAAATTGCCCAAGAACAATTTGTTCTGTAATCCAGTCTTAATTCTACCAACTGCTCTCGTTATTTTCCTAGTAACGAAATTCTCTCCACGCCTTGGCGATTCGTGGTTGAACAGGATTCCGTTACAAGCAAACAACCCGTAAGCCTCACGGTAATTAACTGTGTACCAATGCGCAGCACATTTCGACGCTGCGTATGGAGATCTAGGATGAAACGGAGTCGTTTCTGATTGAGGAGGTGGAGTGGATCCAAACATCTCCGATGATCCAGCCTGATAATACCGGATGTGACTTCTTCCTGTGGCGGCGATATGAGATCTGACGGCTTCAAGGAGTCGAAGAGCACCAGTAGCCACCACATCAGCAGTATAATCAGGAATTTCGAAAGAAACAGCCACATGCGATTGGGCGGCCAGATTATAGACCTCGTCGGGAAGAATGGTATCGAGCCACCGGCGGAGAGAGGAGGCATCGGTGAGATCGGCGTAGTGTAGCTTCATACGAGCCTTGTGAGCATTGTGAGGATCGATGTAGATATGGTTGATGCGTTGCGTATTGAAGTTCGATGACCGGCGGATCAAACCATGAACCTCGTATCCTTTGTTGAGGAGAAATTCCGTCAGGTAAGAACCGTCTTGGCCGGTTATGCCGGTGATGAGTGCTATTTTGTGTTTTTGTGGAGGAGTGGCGGCAGAAGCATCGCCATTGACGGTGGCGGATCCGGATCCGGCAGTGTCCTTGGTGGCCATTGTTTGATCTGAGACAGAAAGTTGAGCAAGGAATTTGAGTAATCGGAATAGTGTAAGACTACGCGGTTTTTTTCAGTTAATAGAGAGAGGGGTTTAATAGAGGGATTGGCATTACATGGAAGGGTAGATTGGTCAATATAATTTGCAAAAAGAGAAAGTGGAACTGGAAACCAATAATAAAATTTTACTTTGAAATGACGCTTTTAAAGTTGATTACGCTCTGTGAGATTTGACTTTACAGGAAAAAAAGAAATAATTATATGGATTAGATTTATCTAAATCTCCGTTTGTCTCCGTACAATAATTTTAAATTTCCGTTTGTCTCCGTGTAATTTCCGTTTGTCTCTATACAATAACTTGCAAACGATGAATATTTTCGATGTTGAATGCATTTTATTTCCTTTATTATAACTATTTATATCATTAAAATTTTTGATACTGTGCTAATGAAATATATGAACAAAGATGGATAGATACTATAAAATGGAACAAAGATTTTGAGTATGAGAGTAAGAATTCAGTATAGATATTGAAAGTTAACAAAAAAAATATTAAGTATATATTGAGAAAGGTAAAATTGAAAATGATGAAATTTATAGAGATGTAGAGGGAAAAAAAAAGTAAAATGAAAAATCATTACTAAAATCATTAATTTAATTTATTTTGAAATTAATTTAAAATTTAATCACCCATATCATTAAAATTTATGAATTAAGTAATTTATTCATATCGTTAAAAATTATATAAATTGTCACTTAATTTATTTTAAAATCAATATAAAAAAATAATTATCCATATCGTTAAAATTCATAAATTAAGTAATTTATTTATATTATTAAAAGTTATATACCTTATTACTTAATATGTTATTGATTTTCCAACATTATAATTTGTCAATTTAATTTAATTTAGTAAATCAATAATAATAGATTTAGTTATTATAATAATTAATTATTGTATTCAATTAATAGGAAAAAGAATTTCATTTATATTAATTTAATTATAAATAATAACTAATCAGAAATTATTACATTTTGAATCCTTGAAATTACTATTCAATAGAGAGGGATAAAATTTAAATTATTACTATAATTATTAGTTATACATAATAATTAATTAAATTTAATAGATTTGTATAACTTTGGAGTCCTATATGATATATGTATATATATAGATTTCTTTACATTGATCTGAGAATTGTTAACTTTAACATTATGTGTTAATTTGGTTAAATAGATGGAAGTAATATTATTATGATTGTTAGCTGTTGGTGTAGTCATATAGTTTTAATTTATTGTATTTATTTCTGAATATTATGTGTTACATTTGATTTTTTTTAAATATTACGTTTTTTTAAATATATTCCCTTTTGGTGGTATAATTTTTTTTTTCATTTATTCCAAATTATAGTCTTGTTTTCTTTTTTAAGAAAAGATGATTTTTTTTTTATATTCCTATTTAATATGCATTTCTATTAACAAAATCATTATTGCTGCCACCAATAGTATTTATATAAAAAAGATATATTAGCCAATAGTATTTGATTGTCTTAACTATTATATTGAAAAAATAAATCTTGATCGGATAAGAATAATTTGATATGACTCAGTGTAATTATAATAAAATAACGTAGATTATTTAATAATTAATATAAGAATGTTTTTCAAAAATTAAGTAAAAAGTATAATTTTATTTTCTTTTCTTAATACATGTAAAAGTTAAATGGCGATAAAAAAAAATATGAAAACGAAAAAAATACTACCTTACATCTGTTCTATAATATTTGTCACGTTTGAAATTTTAATCTTTTAAGAAAATCATTAAATTTATTTATATTATAATAAATTATTAAATAAATTAATTCAATCTGTTCTATAATATTTGCTCAAACGTTTGAACATTTTAATCTTTTAAGAAAATCATTAAATTTAATTTATACTTATAATAAATTATTAAATAAATTATTATATTTTTATTTAATTTAATTTTTTTAAAAATTAAGTATTTTTAATTTAATATTAATTTTTTAAAAATTAATAGATATTTAGCTACGGAGAGCTCGCTCTATTCGTGGCTTGTATTGCTCTATTTGTGCATGTGTCTTGCAGTTTGTGCCTAGCCAGGATTGAAGGCTCTTTCACGTCTTAGTGTGGCTTTTACGAAGTATGAAGCAACCTTAATTGGAGATCCCAATAAGTAGATCAAACAAAATTCTCTACTCAATCTCTTCTCATGCCAATACTAATATAATATTATAATAAATGGACAATTTGCAATTTATGGTGGAAGATTAAAGAGATGAAAAGCTCCCATCTCCCTTCTTGAATTTTAAGCAATTGATAAATAAAGTATTTGTGGTATGTTGAAGTTTTACTCATGACCTTTTAAATAATTTAATTTATAGAATTAAAACTATTAAACACTTCAATTTATAAAATCACCGTAAAATTAATTAGTTTCCCCGAATAGTATAAATTCTAGTACTATTTTATTCATATCATTTTCAAATAACAATAATCTTTTTAGGGTTATAAAGGCCATTTAAGAAGGAAGTTTCATCTTCCTCTCCAATTGAGTAATTTAATTACCATTACACTGAATCATTAATTGTCTTTTTCTATAATTAGGTTTTGTTAAAAACATTGCTTAATATAAAATTTAATTATTAAATTATTTTTTTAACATAAAAGCTTTTAAAGTTGAACACACGTTCGATAAACGTGGCACTAAAAAACCAAATTTGTAACCATTAAATAAAAGAATTTCAAATTCTCTCTAGAGTGCTCAAACTTCCTATTTACATCCTCATGCCAAATTAAAGCAAACTATTCTTACCTACGACCTCCCAGTGATCTCACCACTCAATTTAATTCTCTTTGCACCTGGGGCCTCTATAGAGCCACCAGTTTGAAACTGAAACGACGAGTCGTGTCGGAAAAGACAATTGGAGCCATTCCTGCAACCCCTAGGAGTATTGTAATACATGCAAGGCTTTTGAAACTTGGGCTTTTCTTCTCTCAGTTTCAAATTTTGTGCAAAGCCCAAGTTTTGAATTTTATTATAATTTTGGTCCTTCTTTTCAGATCCATGTTCCCTAATGAGATTTTTAATGTAGTTCACGTCCTTTACTGGCATCACTCCTAAAGGTGGTGGCATCACATTAGGTATAGGCTTTGGAGCCATCACTGGCTGGGCCAGAAAGCTGTTTGCTTTAGATTGCACCAAATTTGCTACCACAGGTCGAGTCATGGGTTGGCTTGGCATTCTAGTTCCTGTTGGTTGCACCTCACTAAGGGTAGATGGAGGCTGCAGACTGCCCGGTATCGGGGAAGAAAGTACGGTAGGCAAGGAAGTTGATCTTGCAACTGGTTTTGGTATCGGTTTCAACCCTGCAAATATATTATGCAAATTGCCATCGGTAGGTGAACTAGCCGGGCTAAGAGGTGGTTTCTTGTTATTGATCAATTTCTCAATCATTTTTGGGTCACTTAAGATTTTAATGAGTAAATCAGTGTCAATCTGGCTCCCATCCTCCATGCTTTTCATTAAAGCAGTAGCTGCAGCAGAAGCAGCAGCCATTAAATCAGCACCTGTATCAGGTGATACTCCGTGAGTTCGTTTTTTGCTCGTACGTGGTTCTAGTTCAGGAATGTTATGCGCTGCAGAATTTGGGAGTCTTGTTGGTAATATAGCCGGAGATTTTGATAAATTGTTCACTGGTGCTGATGAATCAGATATTTCTCCAGCTGCCTCTTCCTCGATGGGAATGAGAGGAATGATGGGAGTCAATCTATCATCGTAATATTCCTCTTCTATGTCCAATGAAATAGACGGGCTATATGGAAAAGGATGTGTGAGTTTTTAGTTAAATGAAGACCCATTATTAGCACAATAAATTACTCGGATTAAAAAATTTTTACCCAGGAGGAATAGCAGAAGGGCGTGGAAAAACTGCTTCAAGCACTCTCATTTCCCTCAGTTTTTGAGCCTTTGCCTCTAGGCTTTCTTCACCTGCTCCAACGTGCCAGTCATAACTGAGAACAAGCTGTTTCAAAACAAACAAGACAACAGCAAGAACAACATTTAATTTAGAACTCAATTAAAACTGGATGGTAATTCAAATGTTATACATATCTGAGCGCTCTCTTACTTTGGGAGGACTCTTCCATTGAATTGTAGGGATGAGGGATGATTCCACTTTTAAAGGATTCTTCAAAGTGTGACACCCTTCAAAACCAGGGGGGAGATCATTGAATTCATCTGCATTTGAATGATGCAGTACCCATGATGGTTTTTTCTGAAGGTTATCTTGAGCTTGCGTACCAACTTTTGAAGGGGAATCCTCAGTTAGAAAGAGCTTTACCTATTCAAAGTCAGACAAAATCCACTAGTAAGATTAGTCAATCACAGCAAGAACAATCTATTGCAGAATTGCTCAATAAAACCTGAAAGGAACAGGAACTACTCCAAATATATACAGCTATTGGACTATAAAAATTAGGAGTTCAGTGAACAAATAAAAATTCCATACTAAAATTCCATACAAACCACCAACAATCGCATCATGCCCCAAAAAGATGAGAGCAAATTGACATGAAATAAGCATAAATCAGATAAAAAGAAAAAACAAAAAATTAAGTTCCCATCATATGGAAGCATTGCAATAGATCCTAATTCTACATATGATCGACACATCTTTGACAACTCAAGAGTTTCAAGGCAATATAAATTCCAAACCACTAAATTTCAACACCAAAGCAACAAAATATGACAAAACAAACAAAGAGTGATTTCTGACAAGTGAAAAAAGATTGAGAACAGTATATCCTAAGAAAACTATACTACAGCCAAAGAAACAATATCCTCCGATTGTTGAATAACAATTTTTTACGATTAATGAGAAGCGCCTCAGTGGTACAGAATATTTTTGTTGGTAAAAAAGATGCATAGGATATAAACATAATTCATAATCAAAAGAATCTGGCACATAGTAAGCACCTAAATGAACTTACATCCACCTGCTGCAAAATATATTCAAACTATCAGTAAACCTAAAATGCAACTGCTACAAACAAAAGCCTCTGGACAAGGCATGAATTATTCATTTCTCAGCACATGTTTATTTTGGAATTTAGTAATCATTTTATAGTAGCTAATATAGTTGGAACTTTCTACTTCCTACTGTGAATCAATGACCTTCACTATAGCGCCAACTACCAAGCAGTAGTCCCTTAATCAACTTATACATCAAAAAAGCTTTTCAGATGTTCTATTCTTCACAAACTTCCCAATTCCCCACCATCTTGCTAATGTCATAAATCTCAAGATAAAATTTTTTTAGCTTGTACTGAACTAAACACAACAATTAAATTCCAGAAGAATTAGAACTTCACAGCTGAAACTGAGCTTAACATTTCAATGTCTAAGAACAAACTTCAATAAAAGCTCACAGATAATACCCAAAATCATCTGCATTGCATGAGAAAGCAATAGAATTCCAGGTTCACATGTTGAAGGAACTTCTCACATTTTTCTACCTATCATCTAAGTTTCTCCAAAGATTACTTGCTAAAGTTTAAAATGGAAAATTAAAAGAAAACTACTACATCAAATTATGACAATAAAATACTAGTACTCTATCAATGACATCTCTATTGGTTGTTTTCAATTAATTTTTTTGTTGACAAGTCAAAACTTGTATTTTAAATCCCATTAATATTCTCCAACACCAAATATGAGGTGAAAAATTAGTTCATAGCTATATTAAATCCATTTTAAACTCAAACCAAAATCCAAAAGAAATTAGGGAACCAAACAATTATTGATTGGCTTTTACACGCCAGGATAAGATGGCTAAATGAACGCTAGATACAAAGAACTGGAATTGTGATGCAATAGGAGATGCATCACAAAAGAAGGGCCTAATTACATTTGAAACTGAGGAATGCATGCTTATGTTTGGTCCCAATATTGTCCAAATTTCACCTAATTTGTCCTTACAGTCAGTCTTCAGTTCGAATTATTAAATTTTATATGACTTATAAATTATCGGTTAAAAATATTTAATATGTGTTTCTTGACTCCTTTTTCAAAAAAAAAATTTCCCTTTCACTTTCTTTATTTTTCTTTATTCCTTTAATATGATATTTCTTTTTATCTTGATATTCTTTGCATTTTTTCCATTATATACTGTCACAAGATATTTCATTAAATTTAAGAAAACTGAATAACTTATTTCAGACACAAATAAGGAAATGAAAGGAGAATTTACCATTTAAATTTAGTTACTTTGAATTTCTTATCAAAGATTTACCTCAATCTTTTCTTTTTTTTTTTTTAATTAGGTATCATATAAAGAACTCAATTTTCAAGCATAATTTGAATGATTTCTTCAAAAGCGTAAAAGGGATCTTATCAATTAAATTAATATCCCTCAGGAAATTAAATTTCTCTGTAATTAACTAATACAACAATCATTAATCAATTAATCAATAATTTAAATTTCTTTATAATGTTACCTAATACAATAATCACTAATCAATTTTGTATTAAAATCCTCGCAAATTAATTTAAATTTCTTTGTAATCTTCCCTAATACAATAACCAACTTTGTTTAATTAAAATCCTCATAAATCTTTAAACATTATTATTCAGAATCTTATAAATCTGACATTTGGTAAACAAAAATTAGGGAAAAATTTTAAGGAACTTGAATCAAATTTCCTGCCTGCATGTTATGTTGCGAATGTGCAAAAGCAACAGCACAGTTATTGATTCACACATACAGGCAGATGAAAGCACTCTGTTGCACCATTCTCGCCGTTCAATTCACTCAAGCTCTCTAAATCGAACGGTGGAATTTGGTGCTGAGATTTAGATTTCTTTACCCCTTTCAATAAATTTTTCATTTAAATAAAATATAAGATTTTCTATTGATTAACTTCCCTAATCTAAAATCAGATCCAATAATTAACAAAAAAAAAAAAAAAAAGTTCCTTTACCCTTTTCATAAATTTTTCATTTAAAATAATATAGAGTTTTCTATTGATTAACTTCCCTATCTCATCGATCAAAAAAAAAAAAAAAAAAAGTTCGCAGTCAATAATGAATCTCATCAAATAATCATTATTAAGCCTTCCGTTTAAGGGAAAAAGAGGAACAAAAAACAAAAGCTTAAGAAAAACTAAATTTTGATCGAAGATTAACACAGCTATACCTGACAAAGATTAACACCTGCAGCCCACGTTACCCTGTTCGATTTCCTCGATCGCTTCATATCTTATAGTTTCAGATCTCTCTTAAAACCTCTAATTAATCAATCAATCAGATCTAAAATAAGAAAAATCGATAGATTTCAAAAAAAATTTTTGAAAAAAAAACAACTTGAAGAAGGTTTAAAATCCAAAAGATTTTAATCAATTTCTTTTATATACTCTATGAACAGAGCTTAAGAGGTTGAATGGAAGACGGCTCAGCAAGAGGAAGCAGAGAGATTTAAAAGGAGAAGGAAACCCTAGAAAGGAGAACTTTATCTTAGTTTATTTATTTATTTTTGGCTTTTATTTATTTATCGACTCCTCTTCCTTTTTGAACATGTAACAGCTCACGTCATGTTGACTAAATAGAAGGCTGCGGCGCTGGTCTGCCGATTCATGCGGTGACTAGGAAATTATTTGGTGTGTCTGTGTCTATTCTGTTCACAAATTTGGCCGTTCAACTAAACTACATAGAATATGAGACAAAATCATTAAAAAAATTTCAAATTTTATGGACCATTTTAAATCTAACTTTTTTTTCTAATATTTTAAATTTTTAACTTTCCAATAACATAATAATTTTAAATTATATCTAATTTAATAAATAAAATATTATTTTCGCTAGATTTGTACTCTCTTATAGTTAAATAATAAAAAACTCATCGTTTAACAATACTCTAACTAATATTGCTTATGAATTTAAATTCACAAAAATCCGAGTAAAATAATAAATTAGTTAATTATAAGCATAAGACTATTAGTTTAAGTTTTTATTTTCCCCATTTTTAAACATTGAATTTTATTTATACTTAAATTAGATCTCTTGTCAAAATATATTATTCATTAGGTGTCATTTTATTTTTAGAAAATCATTAATTGTTGTAAATATTATATAAATAAATAAAAGCATTTTGTTTTTAAGATGAACATGTTATTTTTTATTTTAATATTTTTATAAATAAATATAAATATTTACTTATTTATAAACAATGGTGGTGGAAAAAAGAATCTGATTTGAAAAAAAAGATTAAATTGAGTAAAAAAATAATATTTTATTTATTAAATTAGATACAATTTAAAATTGGATTGCTGGAGAGTTAAAGAATGAGGTGGCAAAGGCAGCAAAATTGCAGGCTTTTGGGGAGGTAGTGAGGAAAGTGGAAGGAAAGATGGTCGAGCTGTAGACAGATGAAGCAGAAAAGGTGATGTGGGAATTGGAGTAGCGTTTGGATTGTTAATGGCATTTAAATTGAGAATATAAGTTTAACTATCAATTTCATAGTCAACTTTTTAAATAGCTGTGATTTCATTTTAAATCGACTTTTGTATCAATTTAGTTACAATTCATCTTAATTTGTTTTTAGAGTTCACTTAGATCCTAAAATTAAACTGCAACACGGTGAATTTATTGATTTGGTGCAACTCCCTAAAAATAAATTAAGGTTGTAATTATAATTAAAATAAGGGAAATAATTATTTCGTCCTTATGTTTTGATCAAATTAACAATTTCGTCCACGGATCAAATTATTATGATATCTCTAACGTTTGATTCTGTCTCGTAATATAATTTTTCTGTCTAAAAGTGTTGATTTTCTGTTAATTTTGCACAAAAAGACCAAAAAATTCATATTATGGTTCCCACAAATAACAAAATCTTGCTTTGGACCAACCTAATAGAATCAACAACAACACCTTCACGATTGAAGCATAGACTTGCCTACTGAGCTAATTGGTAGCCTGCTAGTGAGAGGATATGGCAATTTGATTTGTTAGCTTCGCCAATTGGCCTTTGCCAGGAGCACCCATGTAATTAACCTTTCCCATGAGAACAAACAGGGGATTCAAGCGATCAATGACTACTTTATCCCCTCCTGCAAATATTGCATGGGTTTTGTTCTTATCACCACGGTCACCTCTAGAAACTGGAGCATCAATGGAGTGGTAATTTTTGGCAAATGCCACATCAGAAATCTCTGAGGCGAGGAAGGGATCGAATGTGGTCATGCAACAAGAATTCCACCAATGCGAAGACTTTGGAGAGCTCCAATGGTGGAATCCAGTAGGACTTGACGGATGTGGAAAGGAAAGCCGACGGTGGAAAAAATGACATTAGATTGAGAGGCAACGACAATAAGAGATTGAGCAAGGTTGGCCCCAGTGTGAACGAGAGGTTGGGCGTTAGAGAGGGTCCGAGTGAAGACGATGAGTGTAGCCAGCTAGGTGAGCATACACGGAGCGGCCCATAACTCTAATGTCAATCGAGCCAATGCGAGTGTTTGATAAGCTGACAAACTCGGTGTTAGTGGCCACTGAGCAGTGTTGTAGATACAAAACCAAAACACGCCGAAGTAAATCAAAAGGCATGGTGGCACTGCATGAAGGAAAGCCTCGATTCGCTGTAAGGATTTCGGTCAATGAAAGAAAGGTCAGTGATGTGATTACCAGCGCCTAAAGTTCAAATAACCACCTTTTGTCGACCATTTAGAGGTTGGAAGATCAATCGGAGGGGATGAGAGGGAGATCGCTGCTTTTGCGATAGGGAGAGGCAAGTTTGGGATTTTGCAATATGGGTTTTTGCACTCTGGGTCCCATAATATGAGTGTTTTGTTTTTTTTTTTTTTTTTTAACAGAAAATCAGCGCTTTTTGGATTAAAAGACTATACCGTGAGATGGAGCCGCCGTTAAAAATGTCATAATAATTTGATTAAAATACATGCACCAAATTGTTAATTTGGTCAAAATACAAGAGCAAAATAGTAATTTTTCTTTAAAATAATATAAAACTAGACTCCATAGCCAATCCAAACTCAGTTAAATGCAATACATAATATTTGAATTAAAAGAAAGAATTCACCATTTTATCTCTTTTATCCTTCAGCTTACTATTTTTCTCCCATTGTAGGAAATTAAATAATGGATACAACGGCAATAATAAAAGAATCACCATATTTATTTTGCATTCTAGGAAGTGTAACCTTGAATTGGTATCTAATTCTTTTTTTTTTATATTAAAATAGTTTTAATTTTAAAATCAAAAAAAAATCTTGATTTTTTTTACGTATTATGTGAATAATTACATTTGATTTAATTATCTATAATCTATCTATTTATAATATATATAAAAATACAAATGAGGGGAAACATTGGGTTTCTAAAACACCTCTTCTAAGTTTATGAATTGACAAAAATATTATTACTAATCTTATTCTAGTTATTATATCAATTTATCATTTTTATTATATTAATATTATAAATTTAATCTCATTCTAATTAGGAATTTGTCCTATCATACCAGTATATATATGCTTAGTTTTAATTGCTTTTGGCTATCAAGAATAAAATTTAATTCTCATTCTAATTCATTCTAATTAGGAATTTGTCCTATCATACCAGTATATATATGCTTAGTTTTAATTGCTTTTGGCTATCAAGAATTATTGCTTTTGACTATTAAAATTTTTTTGCTTTTGACTATTAAAAATTGTTACATCAAGCTTTTATTAATTTGAAATTATTGAGTTTGCAATCATGTCTTCTTCTTGCGGTAAATATAACACTAACTCTCTCTCTATTTATAAATTAGTAAAATAGCTTTTATTTATAGTTCTTATAATTTAAATTTATAGATTAATTGTAATTGTTTAGTAATCATGACTAATTATAAGCTTATAAGTTTTTCCTCATGAATAACATTATCATAAAATATCTTAAAGAGATGGCCCTTTTAATTAGAAAAATTTTAATTTTATTTATTGATTAAAATTATATAATAATTTTTAAATAGATTGATTATATTAGTTTCCTTACTCATATTATTTTTATTAATTTATAAATCTAGTTTCATTATTTTTCCATTGCTAAAAGTTGACAAAGGGTTCTACAACGTGTTAGCAACGGAATTTTTGTCCATTTCTAAAGTTATAAGGTAAATTGATTTTTTCTTCCATGGCTGATAGTTGGTTCTTGTCGCGACCCGTTTCCATGGGCCGGACCGGCACTAGAGCTCAGGTAAGCTTAAAGCCCCCGAGGCCCGTAGTAAGCCTAAATTATCCAATATGTCTACCTATCTTTTCCGTAGTAAGCCTAAATTAGTCCGAAATGTCTACCTTATCTTTTTCCAATTTTCATCAAACAGTAAAAGCCCAAATACAAAACATCTGGCCCAAACTCAAATAACACATAATGTATAACCAGGGCCTATTCACAATTAAATTATAATTCACGTTATGGACTGGTTCACCTGCAGCTAATTACCATAATATTTAATTTTATAGTGTAGTGCTAACAATAAGCTCCAATATTAATACACAACTCTATAACTGCGGAGTCCAAAAAATAATCTATAAACTAGAATAATTTATACATTCCAAAATTTAAATAACATGAATATAAAGTTTACATTTGTAAACCTGCGGAAGAAAGATTGCCAGAGCTTCAGTCGAACAGCTGCTTCCTAGTACCTGGGAGGTTTGTTGGGTGGGGTGAGTTGCAACTCAGTTGAATAATAATAAATAATACACACCACAATACAGTCAAAGCCAAAATGCACCCTAGGTAACTGACATGAACACCACAACAAAGTCAATCATATGGACATTACTCAGCACCCACAAAATATCACCTTTCAACATAATCACATTCACGTGGAAATAGTCAGTGGCGCGTCACCTAAACCCTCGACTAGCCGTCCTTCTCCAAAAACAGCCCATCCTCTCAAAACATGTGCACCGGGGCAGCCAATCCCCCATATTCTGGGCGACCGGTCTTAATCCTCACTTGACCGTTCCTCTCAATATTTATTTTTACATTCTCTCTTTTCTTTTCCATTATCATCAACATTCATTTCATCAATCATCCAGCCTGTTGCACACGGTTGGGCGCCGATCTCCCATTTAACCCGGCCGACGGTCCATTTTTCAATCAGTTCATCAGATTTCCATATTTAATCGCACCGTCCTCACAAACCCCATGGTTGGAACCCACTTTCATCCCAACTCCACACAAACAGAGCACAGTTATACTACCACAACACAAAATAATCAAAAACAACATTCATTTATCAAATACCACCAATTTTCATCAACATGCACCAATTTTTATGCATTAAAGTATAATTATAGTGATCATAACATAATATTATGAGACAAAATACCAATATGTTAAATTATATAAAAAATATATACCCGGACCCTGTTATGCCAAATGCAGTCGTTGACATGCATTATTTTATCTATTACTTCACAGTGATAGAGAGCGAAGTTCTAGCTGTTGATTTCTGTCCTGGAGGAGCAACTAGATGGACCCGGGCGAATCTACGCAAAGTTTAGAACGACACAAAAGAATAATAATTCTATCAGACAATATTTCTTTAACCACTCTAGAATCTTTTATTTATATTCTACCATTTTTTTTCTCTACGTAAATAAATCCGATATTTAATTTCTTTTCTGTACTAACAAATTTTATTTTTCTAACTCTATTTTATTTGTTCTTCGCTCTTGAAAATATATTTTACTTTCCTATTTTAGTTATCTACCCAAGCATTTTATTTATTTTTCTACCGAAAAATTTCGCAGGCATCTCCCCTAAAAAATCTGGACTATCTTTACCTGTTAAAATATCAAGCAATTTCACAAAATATTCAATCCATTACGGCCCCATCCGTCGGGCAATTAATTCAAACAACATTTTCCCATCCTCCCTTCAATCTCAACATCCACCACCCACAATCCAAATTATTCATTACCAATAACATTTATATTTAAACTACCTTAATAAATCATACTAAAATTATTAAAATTATAAAACTGTTAACTACTCACAATTATCAAATTAAATTAACCAAATTACTTAACTACAAATAATAAAATTAATTTAATTAACTAATATTACTGACATTAACTAAATCGACTAAAATTATTAAAATTAAACTAACTAAACTAAATCAATTAACTAAATAAATTAACTAAATAAATTCAAGAACGCTAACTTAACTAAATAAATTACCTACAAACAATTAATTTCATTCACTAAAACTAAATTATACCTAATATATATATATTGTTGCCGGAATTTCGATACTAAACTAAATCAATTAACTAAATAAATTCAAGAACACTAACTTAACTAAATAAATTACCTACAAACAATTAATTTCATTCACTAAAACTAAATTATACATCATATATTGTTGCCGGAATTCGATTAACCGGAAATGGGGCTGGTGGCCGGAGGTCGACTGGCAGTGTGGAGAGAGGCGGCGAGGGCTGGGTGGCGTGCAGTGGATCTGCTGTCTCTCGCCAGTCACACAGAGATAGACGCAGGGAAGAAAAAAAGAAAAGAAAAGAAAAGAAAAGAAAGAAAGAAAGAAGAAAAGGAAGAAAGGAGGAGGTGGTGGTGGTGCGGTGGTGGGCTAGAGGTGTCTCGCGACTGGCGCTATCCTTGAGCTTCACAGACAGATAGTTATATATGATCTCCAAGCTCGGCGACTGCGTGCGAAGCCACCTCGCTAGCGCTCCAGCCGTGACACCTAATCACGTCGCCGGTACACGGAGCCAATGGAAATACAGCGAAATAAAACAGCATACGACCATCACCTAATGTATCCCGAAAGAGAAAGAAAGAAGAAAAGTAAGAAGAGAGTTTTGACAACTATAACGGTTAAATGGTAACAAGGCCTCCGTGACTTTTCACAGCGCTGGCCGATAACCTAGTATAGTCCCGGGGGCCGCGCCGTGGGCAGAATAATAATTACAACCGTGCTTCGCTGGAGGTGGCGCAGAAATGGTGGGTGAGAAATGAAGGTGCAGCGCTGGATATAAAAAAAAAGGAATTTTCTAGATGGTTTGGGTCGAACCGGTTTGGTTCGATTCGATTTGGCCCAAATCATCAATTTTTAACTGGTTTTCAGCTTTTTCAATCGGTTTTTGATCCGGTTTCTCACAGTATTTGCACTAAAATATTAATATTAATTTCCAGGCTGTCGATTCATTAAATTTAATTGGAAAATCTTTGAAAATAAAAATTCGAATCGTTTCAGTTCTACAAACGGGTTAGCAACGAACTTTTTTTTCTTTCTAAAGTTATAACCAAAAATCAGCCTATTTTTTAGTACATATCTCTTTTTCGCCACATCCTTTGTATGCTTGCACTTCTTTTCTCTTTTCTTCCTCCTTTTATTTTATATTTTATTTATAAAAATTTAAATTTGATTTAGATTGCAAAAATAATATTTGTCAAGATAATATCTTTTTTTCATTTTTTTAGTTTTAAGGGAAGTAAGATAGCAATGGAAATTTAAATATTTCAATTATAATATAATAAATCATAATTTTTTTGCATGTATAGGAATTCCTATATATATATATGTGTGCGCGCGCGCGCGCACGCGAATAAGGGGGAACATTGAGTTTCAAAACGTTCCTGCAGACTAATTTAGTCTTATTATAATTAGAAAACTCTTAATTTTATTGATATTTTATTAGTTGATTAATTAAAAATATCACTAAAAATAATTGAGTCGTATTCTAATTAGGAAACTTTTAGAATTTCTATACATAGAAAAATACTATAATTTAATATCTTATAATTAAATTTCGTTATCATAGGCTAAATATCATACTAATAGATTAATATCAGTATAATTACAATATAAAATATATAAATATTAAATTATTAATACCAAAATACTATAATTTAATATCTTATAATTTAAATATATTATAATATAAGATATTAAATTTATTAATCCGTAGCTCTTTTTTGTTAATATTATAAATTTAATCTCATTCTAATTAGAAATTTGACTTTGATCTTATTCTAATTATGATATCAATTTATTATTTTTATTATATTAATATTATAAATTTAATCCCATTCTAATTAGAAATTTGGCTTTTAATACTATTCCAGTTAAAATTTTGTCCTATCATACCACTATATATATGTTTGGTTTTAATTGCTTTTTAGTTTTGACTATCAAGAATTTATTATTCTCGACTATAACTAATTTGTTGCTTTTGATTATTAAGAATTATTACATCAAGTTTTGCTAATTTGGAATTATTGAGTCTCCAATTATGTCTTGTTCTTGCGGTAAGTATAATCTAAACTTTCTCTCTATATATATCTTTTATTAATATCAAATCAAATATATATTAGAAATGGTAACCGAAAAATTCTATCCAATCTTAATTAGGAATGGAAATCCTATTGTTGAAGTTTAGATTGAATCCAATATTAAATCAATTATATTTATAGTTTTATTACAAAATTACTTAATTATTTTAGATTAAAAATCTAAAAATAATTAAATTTATATTTTAAATTGAAATTATTTTCTTTTTCTCATATTTCCTTTTGTTTGCTTTGTTAATATTATTAGTTATTTTTTGTCTTATCATTCTCTTGAAGGTATTAATTATTTTATCTGTAATTTGTTAAGTAAATTTCTTGATCAATTTTCAATTAGTATAAATTTATTAATTTTTTAAAAAAACTATTTAAATCATGATTGTAATTTTTTTAACATTTAACCCTTCTTTTTTTTTTTTTAAGTTGTTGTACATTTTTAGTTTAAAAGTTTATTATACTTTGATTTTAATATTACATCTATTATTATGATAATAAAGGATAAATATTTAAATTATAACTCAATTGAAAATTTAATCTATCAAACAACTATATTTTATTTGGCTACTATCAAGAATTTTTTTCCTTTTATTATCAATAATTTATTGAAAACTCTCTACTATCAAGAGTTTGTTTGCTATTGCTATATCGAAAATTTCTCATTTTATTGTTATTAACGGCTGATGTACTAATTTTAACTTTTGATTTTGTTTTTTATTTTGGTATACTATCACAAAAAAAATTTTTGAATTTGATTACTAATATATATTTATTTTTATATATGGCGAGATCTTGAATCAAATGGTTATTTATTTTTAACTTTCTAATTGTTCTATTTTGTCAAAAAATCTATTGTAAAAAATTATTAAAATTTTTCATCAAATAATTATAACTATGTATGATAGTGGTTTGCATCTATTTTTATACATGTAATAATTATCTCTTGGTATGATAGTGGTTGCATCTATTTTTATACATGGTAATAATATAACTAAAAATATTGAATTTTTCATATTCTCTTTTTAAGATTGTAAAAAATTATTAAAATTTTTCATCAAATAATTATAACTATGTATGATAGTGGTTTGCATCTATTTTTATACATGTAATAATTATAACTAAAAATATTGAATTTTTATATTCTCTTTGTAAAGGTTTATAAAAAGTATATAAAAACATAAATTATAAATAATCATTCTAACGGATATATCCAACGATTAACAACGATGTACGTTCTTGAACACTAGTTTATTGTTTAAATATTTGGATTTGTTATGAATAGGGATGGAAGGCGGTGCAAGTATTTTATTAAAAAAAGATATAGATAATTATAAATGAGTTTGAGATGGATACGGATAATGAATTTACTACCAATAACGGAAACAGATAGGGCGAGGGGATTGTATCTGTTATATTAAATGTTACCGTTACCTGTTATATTAAACGGGTTTGGTAGTGGTAACCCGTAGGTATTCTATCTATTATTAGTAAAAGTTGTATTTTAAATAAGTTCATATTTAGATAGTTTAAGATTCGTGGGTATCAACCTACATGAGGGTACTTTAAATGGACTTTGGAGGGATACAGATAGTAAAAATTTAAACAGGTTCGGATATGGATACTTAAATGATATTTAAACGGGTTTAAAATAGATACAAATAGTAAAATTTTAAATAGATATGGGTACAGGTAGAGATAGCAATTTAACCCGACCTGGCGGGTACCCTCTTCGATCCGATCCGATTTCAACGGGTTTGAATAATGAATAAACGGGTTTAAAATGGGGTCGGGTAGTATTTTTACTACTGTATCGAATTTAGGTTAATGACGCGAATACCCACTACCCGCTACCCATTTAATAAATATTCAAAAAATATTTCAAATAATTATTTTTTAAAATAAAAAAGTATATATACACACTTTTTTAATTATAATTAATCCTTTAATTATTTAATATTAATATTATATTTTTTATTAAGTCAAAATAAATAATTTTATAATTTTTACTTGCTTTTTATTTAAAAAAATTAAAAATATATATTTTTAATGCTAAACAGGTTGGGTTTGAACGAATAATTATAATTGAGTTTAGAACGGTGCAGATAGTACAAATGAATTTTTAAATTTAAAACGGATTTGAGTACCTAATTTGTAATCCAGCTCGTTGATACGCACTCCGTTTTTATCCCTAGTTATGGAGTCAATTTTTTTACTGTTTTAATCAAAATTCCAATTCAATTTACTTTTAGGGTGCAATTTTAAAAAATCGACATGTGCAGGGTGTTATAATTTATTTTTAGGGTACAATTGCACTATAATAATAAATCAGGGTATGAAAATACAATTACTCAAAAGTACGGGATGAAATCCAACATTAGGTATGAAAATACAGATAAAGGGTATCCAGAGCAGAATAAACAGCGGCGAGAATGCTTGCAGCTGGTTCCACAGGAGCAGCTGAATATATTTCAATTTTGGTAGCTGGGTTTTCATTTTGCTTGGTCTTACTTTTGAGATTGTCGTCCCCAAAAGCGGGTCTTTTTGTTGTAATAAAACTATATATATATTATTTACATATAGAACTTATAAGAGGCAAATAGAAAATATTAAACTATAATCTAGATTAATTTTTAAAGGGTTTATTAATTTAAAATATTTATTGTGAACTAGAGGCAAATAAAATATAAGGGGAAAATAGAAAGCCACACAGAATTGGTAGAATTGGAGTGGAAGACAAGCATGTATTTGCTTGTTACAAATAAATTCCAGCCAAAATAAAACAATAGACATAAACATAGCTTTAAATAGAATCCCTTATTATAGTCTCCCCAAAGTTATCCCATATCAGAACCAGAAATTCTCACAGAATACACCCAAGCACTGGACTCGGGATAGTGTTGGGGAACACTGCATCGATGAGTCAAAAACGTCACACAATAAGAACCCATGATGCAACCTCACAATATGGTTCTATTACCCTAACTGAAAGCAAAAGGCCATGTTGTCAAACTCAATCCGGCTTGCCTAGTAGACCGAACAAGCATTTGAAGTACTCAACCAGTTCTATAGTTAACCGGTTCTCATTACAATGTGCACTCCACTGTCAGTATCCACAATCTCACTTATCTCCCCGACCTTAAGTGCATATGTTGCATCTTCAAAAGGCTTCTGCATCTGACCCCGGCCAAATGGACCTGAGACAATATTTGCTCACATTTTTTTAGACCAAAGCATGGAAGAATACAATCACTGTATAAAATCAAATCATTTGAATCATACTGATATAGTAGTCCAAAGTATGTGAAAGGTCAAAGTACAACATATTCGGGTAAAGGACTTTAAATATGTGGAGAAAGTACAAGTTAGCAGATTTTGGACTAAAATTAAAGTAATCTTGTTGGCTTGCTGAATAGCAATGTGATATCAATACAGGCCCTTCATTTAAGTCTCCGCTCAAGTGGCTACTGGCTAAGACATTAGCTTTCAGCTAAGAAATCTCAGTTTCACATCACTATATGGGTGGGGGCCCTCCCATTGAAGTGCAGGAGATTCAATTTTTCTTGTTTTCTGATTGCATGAGTACAAAACTGCTAATCAATGAAATGTAGCCTGATGATGAGGGGAAGGCAACAGAAGCCAAAAGTAGAAGGTATTTTGATCTGAATCTGAGCTTTAACAATTTAGATTTCTCATGTGAACTTTTCTGTTTATGAAGATTATGTAACTTCTATCCTTCCTTCACTCACAGACAAAACCTAGTGATACTACTGATTACTGATAAATCTTGCAATCCGAAAATAAACCCAAGTTCAATTTCCACCCTACCTCCCTTAGTATTCAAAGAACTTCTACTCTTTTGATTTAGGAAGAATAATTTTTCTGGGAATTCCTTACATGTAACTTATATTTTCCAATACAAGAATAAACTTCTATCCTACTAGTTACTAAATTCCATTTACCAAAAGCCTATGTTTTATTTGTCTAGAATTTGATACTTTGTGATTTCCAATCCTATTAATCATTATCTCTATAAATATATAAATAGACTTTTTGGCTTTTGATAATAGAATGATTATTCTGATTTAGTTTAAAGAATTCCTCGCTTCTATTCCTCTCTCTCTCTCTCTCTCTCTCTCTCTTTCTCCTCCTCTTTTCTTTCTTTCAGCAACTATAGTATCACAGGAAGTATTCGCATCATGAAAGAAAATCCACCAACTTCTTTTTTTACACAATTAGAACACCATTCAGTTCACTAAAACAATAAATAGAATTAACAAGATTTCTATAACCATCCTTTAATCACAATTTAATTAGCCACCAGTGGACTAGCACACCGCAGCCTTTCCTTCTAGAATAGTGAACAAAAAGAAAAGGATTCTGGATTGAAGAGAGGGATTCAAAGCTGTGCTCTGGATTGTTTTAAAAAGTTTAACGACGCCCAAGCATTTCCAGCAATCGTAATATTATCATCTCCATAAAGAAAAACTCGAGACGTACATTCCATTCCCAACAAATGGAGGTAATATCAGCAAGATTCCAAACTAACAGTAACCTAGATGCATGCTTATGTATTGCATTCACTGAAACTTATACATCTGTCGAACGTTAATAAGTGTTTGCAATTTCATGGACTATTGCCTGTTTAAACAGAACAGCATATGCTACAAATTTTACTACCATAAACATCTTCAAGTCAGAAAACCGAAAGAAGCATTAATCCCCAGCCACTAGCAGATAGTTCCAAATCTGATTGAAGATATAAACTCAATATTCAGTTTAATCAAATGGCTTGTTCTAAGGCATTAAACCCTAATTACGATCGTCCACTAACTATCTAACCAGAAAACCTTAAAAATTGAAACTAAATCTCTAGATCTCCAAATTATAATATCTCAATAAGCTTCGAAAACTTCAACCACTCAACTCTATTGCTATAATAATTAAAGCAAAAAAGGAAAGTAACTAACCAAGATCGCCGCCGCGTTTAGCGGAGCTGCAGTCGGAGAAGCGAGAGGCGATGTCCTCAAATTTGGCCTTTCCGCAAACGATATCTTCGCGGAAAGCTTTGAGCTGCGAGACGGCGGTTTCTCTCGTGGTGTTCTTAATTACTCGACCTTCAGGATCCTTCCAAGAGGCCTTTCTTCGAGAGCCTTCGTGCTTTATGAGTATATGCGATGCTCTCACCTGATTAGCCGACGCCATTTTCGTTCTCTTTTTGATCTTTTCTCTTTCTCTTTCTCTTTCTTTCTCCTTTACTATTCGATCTGCAGATGAGATCGAATCCTTCTTTCTCTTTCGATCGGACTCTATTTTTACTGATATTTTCGATTGGGATTCTTGAGCTTCGTTCTCCGTCTCGTCGGTCTCGAGATAATGTAGCTTCCTGTGCTTTCTGCACCAAAAAGATGAAGCTATGGGATGATGGTGTTTATACGCTAGGCCTTATAGTTATCAGATTAGTAAGCACAAACCAAAAGTGGACGCGTCGATAAATTAGAATGCTATGACCACACGGCATTCTGTGTTGGATGATAGACCTAATCAGTCAAAATATATATATGAAGAAGCATGGGAGATGGTGTTTATAAGCGCCTAGGCCTTATAGTGTATCAATTAGTAAAGCACAAACCAAAAGTGACGCGTCGATAAGATAGAATGCTATGACCAGACGGATTCTTGTGTTGATGATAGACCTAATCAGTCAAAATATTATTACACACTATATATATGATAATATATATTATATATAATAACGCAAAATTTTTTTTTTCCGAAAAATTGATCACGTAATGATTATAGTATCGACTAATAGCATATCACGTAAAAACGTCCTATTTGAATGATATGTAAATCTTAATTATTATTTTTATATTATATAATATGATATTCAATTTCATTTAGATTATATAATTAATAACATACTAGTAAATAATCATGTATGATATATTGTTAACTGTATGTGTCTCATAATAATCACATAATCTTGGACTTAAGTTGTGCATTTACTTATCTATTAATATACTATTAAATAAATTAATTATATAATATTATACATAAGTTTTTAATTAAAAATTATCAATAAAATATTATAACCTATTTTTTAATTAAAAATTATCATAATTTTGGTTTTGATTATCATATTAATATGTACAATAACTTATCTTTTAAATTAACATCACTATAATAGTAACATTGAATATCATTATAATCAATTATAGTTATCATTTATTATTACGAATGAAAATGAAAATTTTATATTTAAAAGAATGATAGAGAAGGTTAATGGTGAAAATAGTTATTAATAGTTTTATTAATAATGAATATCCAAACGTTTTAATATTTATTTATCTTAAAATTTCTATATATAGTTTTTTTTATTAGTTTTAATGATAATACATTGAATTGTCATTAATTGCTTATTACTAGACTATAAATAGAGAGAGCTATTTGAGGTTTGGTAAGATCAATTTTTTTTGTAATTTCAATCAATTTTATACAATTTCGTTTCGATATTAATATTTTTTTTCTCTTCTAATTTTTATTACACTATCAAATTAGGAAAAATTTGATAAATCATAAGAGAAAGCGGTGTATATGAAATTATCATTAAGAATAATATATATACACATCTATGATTGAATTTCTATTGTTCACTTTATTTTATTGTTTTTAATATTGTCTAAGAAAATTTATTAATTAAAAAATAAATTAAAATCAATGATTTTTAATATATATTTCCTTTTCTTTCAATTTTATTATAGACATTTTTTCTTTCAATTTTATTATAGACATTAATTTTTATATAATTAGTCTAATGTTTTGAATTTGAAATAAATGTTATTTAATTTAAATAATTTTCAACAAAATTAACAAATATAAAATTAAAAATAATTTAAATTATAAATGTTTTTTAATTAAATGTTATATTTTAAAATATTTCACAATATCTCTAAAATTATAGATAAAGATATTTACTGTGCACAGGCATACGCTAATATATATATATATAAAGCAAGCATTTGTTGCGTAGAAAGTTGACATGTGACATATCCACTTGGCATTTTAATTTGATATGTGGCATATTCATCCAATTAAGATTCCACTTGGCATAGTTTGATTTGATTATTTAATGTATTAATCTATTGGTTTGATTTAGTTTGAATTTATTTTGAATTAGTGTTTCGGTTTGCTTTGATTTGAGTATTCAATGTATTAATGTATTGGTTTATTTTGGATTTATTTTGAGTTAGTGTTTTTGATTTGATTTGACTTGATTATTTAATGTTTAATGTATTGGTTTGGTTTGGATTTATTTCGAATTAGTATTTTTAATTTGGTTTGATTTGATTTGGTTATTTAATATATTAATGACTTTAAATAATTATTATTAATTATTAGTTTTTAAAAAATGATAAAGTTTAATAACAATGGATTATCAATTAATGTATTAATGTATTGCTTTGTAATAAATCTTTACTCTCAAATTTATGAAGTAACAAATATGTTCTCTAATAACTGTTAATGTATCTTTAATGTTTTATATCTAAACATTTTCTATCTCAAATTTATTATTTTTTTAAATAGTGTAGTATTACACTTTTCTTAAATTTCAAATTATTTATCCCCAATAAACAATTTAGCTTTTTTAGAAACTAGACAGAGGCTCCCGCTTTGCGCGGATTGAAAATTGCTTTATTATTATACATTTTATTTTGTAAATTGTATTCACTATATTATTAAAAGATCTGTTTTACATTATTAAATTATTGTGTTATAGATAATAATTATAAAATTCAATGAATCATGTTTAGGTTTTAGTTAAAGTATATTTCAAACAATTTAAATATTATATCTAATTAATTATAGATAAAATATTGACAAAATTTTAGGATTTAAATAACTTAATATGAATAATAGATAAGTATTATTTATAATTTAATCATTTATAGTAACAAACGCATGTTTAAAAAAAAAAAATAGAATCGAAATAATTTTTAAAAATTATGGGTTTATTTATTTGGTCTATAAGTAAAACTATGAGTAGGACTAATATAAAACTATAGGTTAGACTATATAGTTTATTATAGTATTATTATCTCGATTCTATTAATATATATGAGTAGGATATATATATATCTCATTCTATTAATATATATGAGTAGGATATATATATATATATTAATCTCATTCTATTAATATATATGAGTAGGACTAATATATATATATACTCATAGTTTTAATTATAGACCAAATAAATAAAGCCATAATTTTTAAAAATTATTTCGATTCTTTTTTTTTTTTTTTTTAAATATGCGTTTAGAAATAATCTCATTCTATTAAAAAATTTTTAATCTCGTTGATTTAGTTGGATGAGCGAGTATATCGACCTTTCCACCTGTATGTATAGATATGTTTTTCCGTGAATCATTACCGCGTACGTGGTTGGCTGAGGATTCATGTACCCGATTCTAATCGCATAACGACCATCCGTTACCAAGGTCGTAAACGGCTCTCGGGTTATGGTTATTCGACTTGATCCGGAAACTCTCTGTCCCGTTTGTCTTCGTCTCTCTGAGACAAACTCAAATGGCTTTCTCAGAAAGGAATGCCAGTTCTCCTCGCTTGTTAGCACTCTTGCTATTGACAATTTCAGTGGCCAATCAAGCAGTTGCCATCCGGTTTGGGGATCAAATCCCTAATCCAACCGAAGACTCGTCGGATCATCCCCTCAAAATTGCCGTCTTCGCTCTCGGTAGCTTCTGGAGATCCGAAGCCATATTCGGGTGCTTGAATGGAGTAGTTCGGACCACCGTGGGCTATTCCGGCGGATCCAAATCCAATCCAGAATTCAGAAGCTTGGGTGATCATGCAGAGTCCGTACAGGTCCTCATCTTCTTCTAATTTTAGCCTTTCCCATTTTGTTTTGGGATCAAGAAAAAGAATTCAATTTTCTTTCTTTGCAGGTAGAATATGATCCGAAAGTTATTAGTTTTAGGGAGCTTTTGGAGGTTTTCTGGTCTAGTCATGATTCAAGGCAAGTATTTGGCCAAGGTCCTGATGTGGGTAATCAGTACAGGTAAAGATATTTAAGAAAACCGGTGATTTGTTGTTTGATTGCTTAGAGTCCATGCTTAAATTGAGTATTGTGATACATTATGCTACGTAGGTCTCTTATCTTTACTAATGGAACCGAGGAGTCCAGATTAGCTGCTGTTAGTAAAGAACATGAGCAATTAAGGTCAAGAAGCAGCATAGTCACTACTCAAATACAACAGCTTGTCACATTTTATGGCGCAGAACCTGAACATCAGGTTTTTATGGTCTTCCTTTCTCTGTCTTTTTTTAGAGTTTGTAGCTGTTTTACTATCTGTAAGTTTTAAAAAGGCTTCCCCAGTATTGTTTTCCTAGCTCAATTTTCAATGTTGTTTGTTAGAAAAATTTGAGTGGATTGCACTATTAGATAATCAACCTAATGCTTTGATTTGTTTCAGATTGATCATCAAAGCAATACGGCTTCCATGCATGTATTTAAGTAGTTGCCACATTGGAAATTTCTGTTCAATATTGTTCCTGGAACAAATAGAAATCTGTCTCAGTGATGATATTGTCAATTATATTTAAAAAAGAAACTCGGTTACCAATTTGGATTAAATAAAACTTTAGGGGATGGCCTGTCTTTTAGCAGTAAGTTTAGTAACAAATTGTATAATTCAGCTTAAAAGTTTTCTAAGTGAAATTACAGTTTTTTCAATAGGGTCTTGTAACAATTTTTCGGATAAATTACTTGCTCATTGTGCACATACAAACTGTAATCATAATTTGAAGATGTTTTATTCTTTATACACTTCAAAAGAAGAGAAAAACATTTGTTTTGGCAATGACTGCATTAGAAAATAGATCATATCCTCTGCTGAAACTATTAAATCAACTATTACTTTGTATTAGACTATTAGTTATGAAGTTCTGAGTTCTGCTTTATCTTTAATCTTTAATTTTGCAGCATTACGAATAATGCATTATGTAAACACAGAAAGGACATAAAATATACTGCCACTTTTCTTTTATAGTTTCATTTTGATAATTCCTAGTTCTAATGCGAGTATTTGAGTTATCCAATAAGACATCAGACATCCTGAATTCAGAAGAATTTGTGTTATTTATGGGATATTATCCTTGTATTTTGGTGTTTCGTGCGAGTGCGTGTGGTCCATAGTTATGAGAGATCTAAAGTGCAGCAAGGTGTAAGATGGGTTTAAAATCCAGTAGCTGTCCATGATCTAGGATTTGTCTTTTTGACCTTGGCAGAATGTATTGTGTTCTTTGAAGCCCAGTCCAGGGCAGTCCAAAAAGGAACTGAATGGGGCAAAGTGAAAAATGAGGTCGAACCAAAATGAGGTGGGAAGAGAGAATTAAAATAGCATGAATGCTGAAAAGAGGAGTATGTGCAGCAGGTACTTCTAGAAATAGCACTTTGGGTCAGATGAATTGTGATGGATTATGGCATTTCTAATGATTTACCAGTTTTTTGACACTGGATTGTGTCAGATTTTGAATCTCATTCTAGGATTTGATTATCTCCCTCAATTGTTTTGTGAGTTTACGCCGCTGTAAGTATTAGCTTTCTGTGTAGATCCTGTTCCCAGCTGCCTTATCCTGGCATAGGTAATGACTCCAAATTTTATTAGATGATCTAGTAGTGGGAAGAGAAATCCATAAAATGGCTGGATTAAATCTTGGGATCTTGGCCTTGGATGTCTGAGTTACTAGTAACTCCGATATGTGTGGTGGACTGTAAATGGCAAGCAGAGTAAGTTGGATAATGACTTCTAAATGCTGAAGATGGAAGAAGAATAGAGAAGAGTTAAGGGTTTGAATCCCAGGATTTCCCCTTTTTTATTGGGTATGTGTGAAAAGTCCAAGTTGGATTTATTTGTAATCCTGTAATACATGCACACATGATATTGTTAAGGCCATTAGCAAGCTGCAAGTTAATGGTTCTTTTGACAAAATCCTAGCTGAGGCCTAAAATGTACTGCTAGTCATAGTTTGGTTGGTCAGAATTAAAGGAGTTTAGCTAGAAGTGAAAGTGGATCAGTAGTCTTTTCTTTTTCTTTGATAATTAATGGTAATAGCAATTGTGTAAATGTATATTTGAAGTGGAGTTACTTATTTTGTACGTAAATCTATACACTTTCTGAATTATTATATCTTAATTATTGGTCATGAGCCTTTTTATTGGCTTTTTAGTATAATCCATTGTTAATTGAATTTTTTCAATATTGACATTACTGTGTAAACAAAATGCTACTGAAAATATTTGTTTGGATGAGTAGATGAACAATTTGTATTAAAATAAAAAGAACTGTTATACTAAGGATCATCACATTCTTTTACGTGACAATTGGTTGTAGTTATAGATGTCAAATAGAGAACCAAAGTTTCGATGAATTTCAAATGTTCGGTGACTGCAGAAATTTGAGCTCAAACGGAGGCCATTTCTTCTTCAGCTGATGGGAAACTTGCCTGAAGAGGAGCTTGAGAGATCAAGTTTAGCAGCAAAACTAAATGGTTATGCAGCAGAGCTCTGTCCACCGAAGATTCAAAACCAGATACAAGCAAAGATCAATGAAATTGTTAGGAAAGGTTGGCCTGTTTTGAGAGAAATATAGCTGGTATTTGGCGTAGAGTTTTATTTTTTAAGCAAAACGCTTCGAAATAACAGACCTCGTCCGTCGAGTGCACTATTGGATGTTGTGTATGTCAACCCATTCGAGGATCATAAGCTATGGATGATAGAAGCATATAGTTTTGGATACCCTTCAACAAGATTAGGGTTCTTTTTGTTGCTGATATTGCGATGAAAGCATATCTTCCTGGAAAAGGAATTCTTTTTCCCCAAATGCTATTGTAATTGATTTTTTTTTGGTTTATATTATAGACAGTGTTTTGGACATTAAGAACTTAGGAATTTGGTGAAAATGTGAAATTAAAGCTTCGTTTGTTGCGGTAAAATAAATTGCAGAAAAACGTTTTTCACAAATTTTCACTGTTTGGGAGCATTCAGAAAAATAAATTAATGGAAAATATTTTAATGGTAAAAAAAAACTTAAGTCATTTTAAAGGAAACTAAATTTCCATTTGCAAGAGTTTAAAATATTTTTCGAACTGTGACAAATTTATTATAACTTTATAAATCTATATTTTTTTAATTTATTAATTATCGGTGGTCATTTTCACCACTCATCGTTCACCATCTATCATCTCTGGTCACCGGTGACTTTCATAATTTACTGTTTTTTTATATTATTCTCATATTTAACAATAAAATTTTTAAAATATAAAATTTATATGTCCATTTTCACCACTGTCATGTTCCACCATCTATCATCTCTGGTCACGTGACTTTCATAATTACCTGTTTTTTTTATATTATTCTCATATTAACAATAAAATTCTTAAAAATATAAAGAATGTTATATTTTATTATGATTATTATTATAGTCTTTTATTATTATTATAGTCTTATGAGTTAAAAAATTTTTAATTAATTTTCAATATTACAACTAAACAATAGAAAATAAGTAATTTAAAAAATATTTTTCTTAAAAAATATTTTACTAAGTTATTTTCCTAAAACAGATGGAGCTAAGTGTAAAAACTCGAGGAATATGCTATGATCGATAAATAACTGCTTAAACAGAGTGGGATTAATATGAATGATCTGTGCTCTGCTTTTGCCTCATTTCAATATCAAAATATACGTAATGTTAAACAAAGGCATTCAGGTTCTGTCCTATAATAATGTCAAAAAAAAAGGTTCTGTCCTATAATGAGTCCAAGTACTATAAGACGTTAAAAAATGAAATCATATATGAATTAATATTTTTTTATAAAATTTATCAGCATATCTTTTTTTTTTTTCAAATTTTGAAATGCATGGTAATGTTTTTAGAATTTTTATATTAACAATTCCATGATATTGATTATAATAAATTAAAATTTTGTCTGAAATTTTACATTTTCAAAAATCTATTTCGCTTCCAACCTAATTTGGAAAAGTTACAAATGTGACAAAGTGTTCACCATGAAAATATTATTATTTTATTATTTGAAAGTTTTACCTAAATAAGACTCATAGCCCAAACATGAAAATCCATAAATATTTTTTTTTTTAAATGTAACTTAAGAATTATGAATTCATAACAAATCATTTAAATTTAAAAATTTAAAATAAACCATTGAAACATTTAATAACTGCATCCAAAATGTTATGAAATAATACCAAAGACCAAACAAATAGACAACCAAAAATCAACTGTTGAAATATTGGAGTTTTAAGTTGGGGAGACATTGATAATATATATATATTTTTGTGTAAACTTTTTGTATTCGAATTCTATTATCAAAGACACTTACTCTAGCTCAGGATTTAATAACAGTTAAGGTTTCTCGTCATTCTCTGTAGATGCGTTTAAAAGAGATCGAATCTCACATGAAATCTCTTCCCATATGTCTAATATATGTCGCCAATTGAGCCACAGCCCGTAGGTCAGAAGATATTTTTCTTGATTAGTCCCATTGGAATTTGTTAAAGTCCTTGGTCTTAAGAGAATTATACTGGACGACAGCATTAGATAGAACGATAGATGAGAAAAATGTAGGGTACCCCTTAAGTACATAGACTTAAGAGTCCAAAATGTCAGCATATAAGTAGTGTCACCTCACCCACTTTCAAACAATGTCCTTAAACCCAACCCAACAATCAATGAAATAGACCTTTATCAAAAGAATGTATTGAAGATAATAAAATAAACCGTTAGCAATTTTATCTGGCAACTTTTGTGTTCCTTCTTCTTCTTCTTCTTCTTCGACTTAAGAGTCCAAAATGTCAGCATATAAGTAGTGTCACCTCACCCACTTTCAAACAATGTCCTTAAACCCAACCCAACAATCAATGAAATAGACCTTTATCAAAAGAATGTATTGAAGATAATAAAATAAACCGTTAGCAATTTTATCTGGCAACTTTTGTGTTCCTTCTTCTTCTTCTTCTTCTTCTTCTTCTTCTTTATTCCTTCCGTCTCATAAATTTTATCTTGGTTAGATTAAAAAATTTAGTTAAACGATAATTTCTACAATATACCCTTATCCTAGTATTCAATCAAATTATAAAATATCCTCATTAAAAATACCCCAACATTTACCTGTTTAATCCTATAGAGTTCCAATCATTCAAAAAATCCTATCATGCACCAAACGTTGCTTATTTTGTAATTAATATGTCACTCGTCAAGTTGAGTTTAACGCGTAAATAACGGTTCGATTTGGCTATCGATTTGACACATGTTGTGTCACCCTTTATCCACATTATTGAAGGGTAAAACTTTTCTTCCCATTGAAGCGAAGAACGTGGCCTAAAAATGGAGAAAGTCTTAGATAAAAGATTGAGCCTATCACGTCAGCTATAAATCCACCTAATGAAATGAAGCTACATCAACAGTTTGTTTTAAAATATCATAACCATTAGTTCTTTCAAGTTTCCCCTATGACTAGAGATAGACGTTATTAATGTGAAATCAGAAAAAATCAAATTATTAATGTGATTTTATTTTATTGGATGAGTCTATATACCGAGTGATTTCTCTTAAAAAGTGACTCGAAAACAAGCACAAAATCAATTTTGACGGAAAATCTTTATCCACTCCAAATCGTTAGATTGTAGCCACTGTATGGCTTTAGTTGATTGTAGAGAATACTGACAGAATCATGATTATGATTTTGGAAGATCAAACTAACGGTTTTGATTTTTTAAAGTGTGATTTAAATAGAAAAAAAAATAAAAGTATTAAATTTAATGGAACTAGAGAGTAGTTTCTAAAATATTTTTGTTATTTTTGAAAAGAAACAAAATGAAGAGCTACAGCATATAAAAACAAATAAAGATGAATGATTGCAAATGAGAACAAATTAAAATGAATGATGTGAAGAAATTAATTGGCGCGCCATGGAAGAATTGAGCAACACAGAAAACGACTTTGAAAGTTGTAGTAGTTATCCCTTCAACTCACTGTCTCAATCTAATCATAATCTTTTGATAGGGATGCATACGTGGCTTGTTTTTGGTGTCCTTCACACTGTTTTAACATGTGAGTCTTGGTTCCTTCACAATT